CAACAACAGTCTACACGTGAAATCCCAATTTGTAAACAAACAAAAGAAAGAATTTCTTAGAAAGTTTGGTTTGGTTTTACTCTTTTGGATTTTACGTTGCGTTTCAAATGAACTTCAATATGTTGAAGTATATAATCAAAAGTTCCAATACTCATTCTAGTGTACTCATAAAATTTGTCCGGATACTTCCTTTAATCTGCATAAAGATTCAAAAATTCGCCACTTTTATGACGACCTTTATTTAATTCATGCACTCCGTCTCTTGAATTTAAAATGTCGTGCATAAAATACGAACTGCTGTCAAGGCAACTACGCATCACTTTAGTTAGAGCCATCCTCAATACGTCCACTTTAGTCAGCCGCTATAGCCGCTACTGAATGTACGTGGCATGCCACCCGCACCCGCAGAAGTCACCCGCACCCGCGCTTAGCCTAGCCCGTCTACGTGGCCAAGCCGTAAGTGTCGCCGCACACGGGCCACACGCCACAGCCGCTAACGCCGCCACGAGAAGCGGCTACTAAAGTGGCTGAAGCGTGCGACAGCGGCCGACTAAGGTAAGGGTGAGAGGGGTGGGGAATCGCGCGAGTGACGTGTGGCGGCGTTTTGTATCGGCGCATTAAGTGGCCGGTGCGGGCCACAAGAAGCGAGCAACGACGATTTGTAACGTGTGGCGGCCACCGGCGTACCGTGTGCGGCGAGTCCATATAAAATGTATGAAAACTACAAGAAATATGCCGGTGGCGGCGTTTTGTGGTTGTGGTCGGTGGCCCGTGTGCGGCGACACTTATGTTCACATAGCCAAAGTCAGTATCAAAGTAAAGTATTTATATATATTGACAACAACTTTTGACCAATATTGTATATAAATACACATATTTTTAATACCTACTTATATTGTTTTGTTAATAATAACCAATTAGAATTACTAGTGATTAGGGCGAGTGGTTAGCGCGTTCGGCTGCGATCGTTGAAGTTAAACAACTTTCGCAGTGGCCGGTCATTGGATGGGTGACCAAAAATTTTCTATCTCGAGTTCCTTCGTGCTTCGGAAGGCACGTTAAGCCGTTGTTCCCGACTGCATCTGCAGTCGTTTGCACCCGCCAATCCGCTCTGGGCCCGCGTGGTGGGTCATGACCCAATGTCCATATATTCCATTTACATATGCCATATTTAATATCTATACTAAAAAATATCAACTTATAGAACTGGCAGTTTGCGTAAATTATTCATGATGCTTATGCTTCTTTGATGTGCGTATTATAGGGTATTTGACAGTATTAAAAATAAAGTGCCAATTGTTAGCATCTACATTTAGAATGAATATTGGCAGGAGTTTTTACTATTTTTACAAAAAGAATATTCATAATTTTACTAAAAACCCACGATAAAGATAACAGTTTTCTTGTCTATTGTCACGTGACCCAAAACGCTTGAGATTGGTGGAGCCTAAAATGACGTCACACGCAAGTAAACTTCCGGTTAAAGTGACATTTGATTGTATGGTTTGACTTTTTAATGACAGTCGTGTGACGTCACACACCAGTGAGACGCAATATTCTCCAGATTTACGTTTTTCGTGGCAACTTGAAAATAGAGTTTTTGATTTGTTTTTTTTTACCGAAATACACCACATAATGATGAATAACCACTTTTTATGGACTCTATAAACATTAGTAAATAACGTGAGATCGTTTTCTAAAACTTGTCAAATACCCTATTATGATAAATCAAGCTCGCAGTAAGAACATGCCTTTACTTGATAAGAGTGATTTTATCACAATTATCACATTTAAATGTGCTATTTAAACTACGTGAACTTAACCATAGAGCATACACTGTGCTAATAGCCTTCGTTTAAATAACATCTCACAACATCTTATATAGCTATTTGAATTTGTCTGTGTAAACATCAATTTAAAATAGATAGTGTCTGCGAAAACAAGAGTTCTAGGAACAAGTAAGTGGTTACATTACAACTTTTCGAAATAAATCTAACTAGCAAACCAGTGAACCAAATGTTCACCAAAACCTGATTTAAAAAAAAATGTATATAATTAATTGAGAACTTCGGAGATTTTGTGTGGTTTCATTTGAAATTCGTGATTTCTCGAAAACCGGAAGTGCTACGTTACTCAAATCCGGTTTGTAGTCTTATCAGACTATTCTTAACTTATAACTTAAATATTCTCTTTATCTATTTCTTACGGTTTGGCCGCTGAAACAGCACCACAGACGGACGGACGGACTTGTCTAATAGATAAGAGATATGAAAACTTTTTCATACGCTTTTAACGAAAAAAAAAACAAATTGAAATACTTAGTACATTAGTAACTACTATACCCTTGGCACGAACTAATATCGAAATCGTAACGTTTGCGAGTCCGAAATGTCATTGTTGAATGTGTACTGATTTTAGTTCTCGTTACATACTTTATGGCGCTGCTGTTCAAGATTCCATACAAAATTTGATATTGACATTTCGCAACGCAAACTATTCGAATTCGATAATGGTTCGTGATAGTCCTATCTGCCATATTAGAGGTTCCGTACCGTACTATATTAGGTAAGGGTACTAAAATTATAGGTTTCTGTGGGATTCTAAATAAAAATAACTGTCACGCGGATGGAGTGTATTTTTTTAACCTTTTCAACACTGAGCGTGGGGTATAACCGCAAAGAAAATAAGTCGCGGCATGAAACTAGCGCTGACCTGAAAAAATGAAAATTATAATGCGATTCAACTAAGAATAGGACCGACTGGGCGCCATATTTTAACGTCATAGCTGTCAATTCAAACCAAATAGGTAGAGAGAGCAAAACAATTTTGCTATTTAATAAAACTTATGTACTAAGATTAAGTAAGACAAAACATCAGATTTTTTAATAAAATTAATTTACTAAGGTTGAGAAAGAAGTTTTTAATAGTATTTCTTTATTAAGACTGTGTGAAAAAAAAACATAAATCAGAATCTAGCTCTTCAATTTTGCTCATCTCTGCATTATCGCCGGAGAAGTTATGAACAATCATGCCGGTCACATACGAACATGCAGCTTATATGTAAACGAAAGTTTTAAATCGAGTTTTTGAACGCAACATAAAGTGACATTTGGTTGACGATTTAGGTTATCAATCATTCATAACCAAAGCTCAATAAATGAAACAAAAACAACTAATATTAATTATCAACATTTGTTATTATTTGTTTAATTTTTTTTTATTTTTGAAGTTATACTTCTTTAGGCGCGTTATGAAAAAATGATGAGAGTGAAATTTTAAGATGCGCGCGCATCACTGTAACACAGAAATTAACAGCATGAATTCATGCTGTTACTTTTGTGTTTACCGCACATTAAGAAAATCTACCAACAAAATAGAAATAGAATCTCTATTTAGTGGGTGCTAACGACTGCATTGTGAAGGCCTATCAAAAGTATTTATTAATCTGGAACAACGGAACCAAAGCGCGATTCAGGAGACTACAGCGCCATCTCTTGACCATTGGTGTAGTAGAACCAAAAACCACATCTTTAATTTTTGTAATAAAGTAACAGTTATAGGTATTCATATTTATAATATTTATCCACATGTTTCTAGTTTGTATATTCGGAATACGTGTTTGAGTTTCATAGTACAAATCACATATGTTCTAATAAATTATATTCAGTAGCGATTTTAATTGAATATTTTGATTATTTATTTATTTTTTCAAATTAAAACTGAACTTTATTGACTGTGTCCTTTTCCAGACTTTTTATTAATTTATTGTAATTAATTATTTGCATGCAATTAAAAACTAATTTTAAACGATGCCAAAGAAGGATAACTTCTCACGCGCCTACATAAGTACACGCACCCATTTTTTTTTTGATTTTTATACTAGAATCAGCTGAGTGCTAAAAAAGTGTTCCGAGATTTTTTTACAAACCGTACTTTTCAAGCTACATTTGACAGTTGGAGGTCATTCGCTTTCCTATTCTTATTTGAATCGCATTATAAGTTGGCTTGGGGGGAAACGAGGTGCGCGGGTGGGCGTGCGTTGAGCCGATTGGCTCTCCAGTCGTATACCCGCCATACACACTACGAGAAATCGTTACGATTAGACTGTACAGTCCGAACGGTACCGATAAATCGTAGCGTGTATGTTATAAAACTGCACAGTTTCCTATACTAAACGAAATTGTATAAACTGTACCGTTCGAACTGTACAGTCTGATCGTAACGATTTCTCGTAGTGTGTATGGCGGGTAGTAGCCATGCGCAGCTATCCAATTACGTGCCGTGACCTGTGCGCACGGTGCCATGTATGGGAGTAATTCGATGTATGAAACGACAGCCTGCTGTAGAAAATATAAACTGTAGCTATTGGAAATTGATGCCCCTTAAAGAATATTTCTGATTATCAAATTAGGTACTTTCACAGTATATGGATTTGGCATAATATGCATAAACACATCCACGGGTATACACCCGCTCACATGTGCACATAGACACAAACACAGTACACCACACATGCACGTACACATGCATCGACACACACGCACACACACACATACACACGCACACACAAAACACACACATACACATACACAATATGATCGTAGGAGTAGCACCTACTTCTGTTGATTTCTTTTGCATTACTCGCTTTCATCTATGGAGAAGTGGGTGTGGCTGAAAACCAGCACTGCCCGAGACATTCTGTAACTAAGCAGTTTATGCTGAGCCACATCCATTTGCTCTTCACGCTGTCATATCGCATTGTACTATATATTGAACTATGTATTACTGTGAGAGTAATAAAAATATTTCTATTCTATTCTATTTTTTGAGCAAAAGTATTGAAAATAACCAGTATGCGGTCACCAGGAATTTAATAGTCGTAAACAGGTACAATACATTGACTTATTTGTTTTCAGGTCAAATTTCGTCAGTCTTGAAGTTGAGGTACCGGTAAACAACGTCGTCTAAAGTGTCTTCTGGGGGGCAGGCAAAGTACCAGAATGGAATCACATGAGAAGAACTGCAAGGTCAACGGTGACACCCTTGACCTTGGTACCAACATGACCTTCGAGATGAAAGGTGAGTGTTGACATGTTCACTGCGGATCACCCATAATCGACCTGATTCGGTGCCAACGCCAACGCAACGGTACAGGAAAAACGGGTCTCCTGCTGGTGCTGAATGCTTAGATTGAAACAAAAAGGGAAGATACGGCACTCGCGGCTCAAAAGTGATCCGCTTAAATTGTGGTGCATGACCACAATTCGCTTTAGTCACAATTGGACATTCAAACACGCTGCCTGTGCACTCAATATAACAATATGGCGTATATTCTGTGTGATAAAGATAAAACAATGCCTTCGATGCTTTTATGAAGAACACAAATAGTTCAAAATCAAATAACAAATGCCTCGGCCACACTTTTCATTCGTAAAACTGTAAATACTTTTTTTTCTCAAAAATCACTATTTGTTGTGAATGTTATTTACGTAATCGCCATTTTGTTATCAAGAAAAGGAAAACAATGTATTGTTGAGCTGAGCTGTAGCTCAGCCTTACGGACTCGGAAGCGGACTCGCCGTTTCGCTCGCGCTGCGTTGAAGCGTACAGTTCTGTCTCGCTCGCTCTATTGAATATTTATTTACAGACGTGTGCGTGTGTGAGGTTGCTTTTATAGTTGAGTCGGAGCATATTTTATTTGATGCTAGTATGAGCGTACCGTATCTTCAGTTTTTGTTTTCATCTAAAGTTCAAACGCGCACTATTAGTGTGGTAAATACCATTCAAGTCACGTCATTACAAAATGACAAGTAGTCGTAACCTATACAGTCATCATCATCATCATCATATCAGCCGTATGACGCCCACTGCTGGACATAGGCCTCCCCCAAGGATCTCCACAACGATCGGTCCTGCGCTGCCCGCATCCAGCGTTTTCCCGCGACCTTCACCAGATCGTCGGTCCACCTTGTAGGGGGTCTTCCCACTGAGCGTCGTCCGGCACGCGGTCGCCATTCGAGAACCTTTCCGCCCCAACGGCCATCGGTTCTCCTCGCTATGTGTCCCACCCACTGCCACTTCAGCTGGGCTATTCTTCGAGTTATGTCGGTGACTTTTGTTCTCCTACGGATCTCGTCATTTCTGACTCGATCACGCAGGAAAACACCAAGCATACAGATACCAAATACCTATACAGTAGGACACGGTATTCTTAAACTTTGTAAAATCAGTTTTTTTATACATATTTTTTTTAATCATAATTTTATATCATTTGTAATGTAAAGTCATGAAATCATACTGAAATCATTTTCCAATTTGACGACTCTGAATATAATACAGGGAGAAAAAGCAGCCCTTACTGAGTCTCGCCGGTTCTTCTCAGTACAAGGTCTCCCGCCGTAGATTTGCGAACCGATGGCGTAGCTTTTCGACATTCACATGTGCTTGTAACAGCCTAGACTGAATAAACGATTTTGAATTTTAGTAACCACAATCGTATTTATTGTTATTCAGCCATGCGAAGTGCCATACATATACATATAGTTCACAGACAGAACAAGATCGTACAAAAGAAAATAATAAAGGGTAGAACAACATAACTGTTTATAACAACTACCCGCATGACTTCAATCGTTTCGTGAAGATGGCGCAGACAACTGCGTCAGAATATCAAAGCCTCAGAACGAACAATAAACATGGTAAAAACCTAGTGCAAGCTTAGAAAATGAATCTCGCTCACATGATTTGAACATGTTGATAGAATGAGGGCTATCGTTTTTTGTCTCACCAGATGGCGCCAAAGTTGAGTGAGGTCCTGAAGTGTAGCCTTAAAAGTTAGTAAACACGCTCGTGATATCAAAGTTTACATTTTAATACAAAAGAATCGTATCTTAAACATAATCGCCCATGTCAGTGTTCCGCAGTCCCGTTTTGTTCGGAAAAATTTTTTTTACAGTTCCGCTTTTAACTAACGGACATTCATTGACACGTAACTCATATTTGCCATAATAAGTCTGATCTATTACCAAATATTACAACTATTATTTTAATTAGTAAAAAACCGCGTAGTCAAAAGCAAAGCTACCAAGCTAAGCTAAGCTACTACCCACAAAGCTATAACATTTGACATTTCGGAGACCTCACGCAACACAAGCGCCTCTAGCGGCGATTTCAGACGCGATAGCCCTCATTAGTGAATTAGTGAAAACAATATAAGAGTGTGAAATGAAAGTGAGAAGCGGATTAACACTCAGTAGGAGAGAGAGATCACAGTAAAACAATACTAGCTTTTGGTAGTGTTGGGATTCTGTCGGTGAGTAAGGTTCCATGGCTCTACGGGGTAGGGGATTGGGTCAGGGTAGGCAACGAAGGAAAAGGAATCTCGTAAGTCTCCGAGAGACTTGCCTACACTCGAAGAATTCATGACCTTTTTAGAAACCAAATTTATTGCTTTGGAGCCAATAAATAGGGAAAGAAAGGATAGAGAGGTACTTCCTGCACCTACTCGTCATAATCAGCACCATCAAGGTTATCAAAAACCTATAGCAACATGGAACAACAAGCAATCAAGATTTTATTCATCCGGCTCGAAGGACCAAAAATGTGGGGGTTGCTTCCCACACTTGATGGTTGTTGAAGGGTAAGGTTACTCCAAGGAGTGCTAAATAAAACCGAACCGTTTGAATGTTGTAAAAACACTAATTTATTTCTGTGACTAATTGTGCAAGAAAAAATACAATTTCATGAGTATGCTTAAAAGTAATCTGGGTCAATTTGAAATCATTTTAATGTACAATCAAGTAGGTATGTACAGCTCGTACAGGGCGAGTGATATTATTGGTATCGCAAGCGACGGCTAAACTGTACTTCCAGGGCCCAAGTGGTGATACTTCACACTAGGTTAGGTTGGGTTAGTGTTGTGACCATAAGGCTCAACTCACACCAAAAGAGCGTCGAAGCGCAGCGAAGCGGAGCGCAGATTCAGTGTCATATGAATTTTAACTTTAGTTTCATTATTATAACACTTATTCATCATCATCATCATCATCATCAGCCTATTAATGTCCCCACTGCTGGGGCACAGGCCTTCCCTATGGATGGAATAGGGAGATTGGGCCATGACCCACCACGCGGGCCCAGTGCGGATTGGTGGGTGCTAACGACTGCAAATGCAGCCGGGACCAACGGCTTAACGTGCCTTCCGAAAGCACGGAGGAGCTCGAGATAGTAAATTTTTTGGTCACCCATCCAATGACCGACCACTGCGAAAATTGCTTAACTTCAACGATCGCAACCGAACGCGCTAGCCACCTGCGCCATCGAGCTCCTCGACACTACACTTATTATCGCATGAGAAACTCGAACGACTCCCGCGGCGCCGCGGGAATTCCGACGAATTCCATAAGCGCGCCTTCTCTACCGAGCGGGTCGCTGCTCTTCGCTGCCCTTCGCCGCTCTTTCGGTGTGAGTTGACCCTAACGAGCCAGAATTTTTTTTTAAAAGAGACCTTTTCTACAAAAAAAAATCAAGTATCACCTCTTGGGCCCTGGAAGTACAAGTTTACCTTTATTGGCCTAAAAACACAATTATGTAACAGTAAGAAATTATATAACGATAAAAATAGAAGCAAACAGGGAACAACAATATGCAGAAAGAAGAAAGGCCAATCAGGACCCTGCCTCAGCTTAATGCTGTTACAATGGGACGGGAATATTCCCAACGTAACAGCGCTGGTATTCTTTTTTTTAAAGTGAGGTAGGCAAATGACTCTACCCCACCTGATGTTAAGTGAGGATAAAGTCCAAACGCGAAGATAGCTGGTACAGCAGTTATAAACTGCTACACCAACCATCCTCACCTCGCCGGCCCGCAAAAATGCTTCTTCACGCCTCTCTTATAGGACCCCAGATTATAAGAAGGAGGGAACAAGTGCGCGGGTAAAGAATTCCACTTACGAATAGTACGACAAAGAAATAAGTCACCAAATTTCTTTGTTCTGGCAGGGCCTTAGGGCAGGGGCCTTAGGCCAGGAAATTATAATACGATATAAAAAATGACTCATTGTAACCTTTTCCCTCAAATTAAGGCGGGTGAAATAGCAGGGCCTATACCTATACCTTTAGTTACCAATAAAAATAAACTCTCGAGAGGAGCTCGATGGCGCAGGTGGTTGGCACGTTCGGCTGTGATCGTTGAAGTTAAGCAACTTGCGCAATGGTCGGTCATTGGATGGGTGACCAAAAATCTTCTATCTCGAGTTCCTCCGTGCTTCGGAAAGCACGTTAAGCCGTTGGTCCCGGCTGCATCTACAGTCGTTAGCACCCGCCAAGCCGCACTGGGCCCGCGTGGTGGGTCATGGCCCAATCTCCCTATTCCATCCATAGGGAAGGCCTGTGCCCCAGCAGTGGGGACATTCATATGCTGATGATGATGATGATGATGAAAAATAAACTCTCTTTTTCCAGAGAATGGCTCACCAGCCGAACCCCGTCGGCTCAGGAACCTGGACGACCTGTTCCCGTACATAGGCCAGTTCGGGTGGTACCAACGCATCCTGTTCCTCCTCATGATTCCATACTCTTTCTTCTTCGCCTTCGTGTACTTCGCGCAGATCTTCATGACCGTGGTGCCTGCTGAGCACTGGTGTCATGTGCCCGAACTGCTCAATCTGACAGTTGAGGAAAGGTGTGTATCTTCAAAAAGTTTAAGTGTCGTCGCACACGGTCCACACGCCACAGCCACAAATGCCGCCACGAGAAGCTTGAAGCGGCTACTAAAGTGGCTGAAGCGCGCGACAGCGGCTGACTAAGGTAAGGGAGAGAGGGGTGGGAAATCGCGCGAGTGACGTGTGGCGGCGTTTTGTATCGGCGCATTAAGTGGCCGGCGCGGGCCACAAGAAACGAGCAACGACGATTTGTAGCGTGTGGCGGCCGCCGGCGTACCGTGTGTGGCGAGTCCATATAAAATGTATGGAAACTACAAGAAATATGCCAGTGGCGGCGTTTTGTGGTTGTGGACGGTGGCTCATGTGCGGCGAAACTAAGGAAAAATCAAATAAAACGTAAAATTGACCTGGCACGATTACACAAGCTCGTTAGTCCGAATACAAGTGCTAATGGCCGAATACCGGGAATCCTCCAAGAGGCAATCACCAATGTGAAGGCCCTGGGGGCGTTCCTTAAGGAGCTGGGCTGGCTGGAGTGATTCCAGTTATACACCCTCCTCACGCAAAGTGTTGGCGCCATAAGGACGTCGAGTTGCGGAAACGCCTGTTGCAAGAAGGAGAAGAGTGCCAATAGAATTCGGGTAAACGTCTAAGTGTAAATGACCGGAGTCGAGTACGCCTGTATTCGGGTAGCTTTCGTTTTGGTTACCTGATACCGTCTTCTAGCGCGCATTCTAGTGTAAATATTGCTTCGCCTGCCGGAATTAGATAATGTCTTTCGTGCACTAGAATACGGACTTATTCATCATCATCATCATCAGCCTATTAATGTCCCCACTGCTGGGGCACAGGCCTTCCCTATGGATGGAATAGGGAGATTGGGCCATGACCCACCACGCGGGCCCAGTGCGGATTGGCGGCTGCTAACGACTGCAGATGCAGCCGGGACCAACTGCTTAACGTGCCTTCCGAAAGCACGGAGGAGCTCGAGATAGTAAAATTTTTTTTTTGGTCACCCATCCAATGACCGACCACTGCGAAAGTTGTTTAACTTCAACGATCGCAGCCGAACGCGCTAACCACTTGCGCCAGCGAGCTCGCGGACGGACGGACGGACTTATTATTCTGGCATTATTTTCCAAAAAATTTAACTAAAATTGAAAACATTCTCACAAATAGATGTGACTGTCCGGCTGCTGGATGTGTCTCCGGCTACAATGTCTGCTAGTGTCAGCTTCATTAGAACTAAGCGTATGAAAAGCATAGTAGTAATAAAAAAATACTTTTCCAGACGACACCTATCAATACCATTAACATCACATGGCTACGACAAATGCAGCGTGTACGACGTGGATTGGACTAAAGTTCTACAAGATGGCGTCCGCGAGCCGGACACAAAATGGCCGATCAAGAAATGCGAGCAGAAATGGGAGTTCAATTTCACCGATGTGCCGTACGAAACGATTGCCTCGGAGGTGCGATATTCTCATGCATACTAATTTTGAAGGTGATAACTCTTATGGTAGGGTAAACCGCTTCGTTACGTAACCCGTTACGGCGCCAGTCTGTCTCTCCGATTCCGTCGACCTAGGCACGTCTTAGAGTACCCCGACGACGAAATCACCGGTGCCAACGCGCCTCCGACTCCTCCCACACAGGCCACAAGCACCAATACTACATAGCTAACATTCTTGCACACTAGCTTAGCACTAGGCAGACACCGCACCCGTAGGATAAGAGTACGAAAACCCGGTCTACACACGACACGCTATACCAGGTACAGGTACGTACCTGGGCGTTTGCCCCCGCCCCCCACGACAACGGCTAACTAGAGCCGAGGTCCGAGTCTCAGAGACGCCCCCTAGTTGAGCCAACCCCCTCAGGTTCGAGTGGTCTAAAGGCTCCAGACGGATAGGAGACTCCCCCGGTGAGGATACCATCCGCCTGGAATACCTCTAGGGTCACTCGCCAATTCTCGGCTTGAGGTCCCGTAAGGATCTCGCCGTCGTCCCCAAACCCAGCGACGCTGTAAAGGTCATTTGCGACCAACAGCTTACACATTAAAAAAAAAAGGTTCTGACGTCTTCCCCTTAGGGTCTAGCTGTTCTCCAAGCGCGGTGACGCTGTAAAGGTCCACAACACCATCAAACGTAGTACTATTTTACTGTGGTGTTCTTTAAGGTAGTGGCTACTTCTCCAGATGAGCGCTCCAAAGCGAATAAATGCGAAAGTGTGTCTGTCTGTTACTTATCCACACTTAAAGCGCAGAACCGTTTAAATCAAAGATAAGTATAGTGATACTTTAGGGCCATAAGCTAACAACTGCAGATGCAGCCGAGATCAACGGCTAGGTACACGGAGGAGCTCGAGATGGTAAATTTTGGGTCAGCCATCCAATGACCGACCACTGCGAAAGTCGCTTAACGTCAACGATCACAGCTAAGTGCGCTAACCACTTGCGCCGTCTTCTAAATTACTCATCATTAGGATTAATAATAGGCTAATTTATAATAATATCATCATCTCTTTCCTCCTCCACAGCTTGGCTGGGTTTGCGACAGAGACAACTATCCTGCGACAGCACAATCGATCTTCTTTTGCGGGGCCATAGTTGGTGGTCTATTATTCGGATGGGTGGCTGACAAGTTCGGCAGAGTTCCAGCTTTAGTTGGTAATTCAAAAGTTAAAATATCATTATTCAAATTGGAAGCTTAGTACAAATTGTATAGTCAAAAACCATTCCAAAATGGATTTTAGTTTAAGATTGATAGTCGTTCAACTTGGGTTAAAGAAAATTTCTCAGAAGAAAACATTTATAGTGACAAATAAATATTTACATCTAGATATTAAACTAAAACTAGACACAAATTAAAACTATGTTAGGACAATTCCAAAATCGAAATTTAAATTACTTTTTCCGCAATGAATTTTATTATCGGGCTGCGTGTCTATAGACGCCTGACAATGGTATCGATTCTGGCATGATCTAAAACCTGAACTTAAATTTGACAACAGTGTGAACGTGTATCCTTGTCATTCGCTATACAGAAAGAGAAGGAGGGGCTGATGTTAGTTTTAGTTTTAAGTTTGGAGAAACACGCCAGGATCGACACCATTAGCTTGACTGGCGATAGTTTGACACACTAAAAGAGGTTCTGGGAGATGATAAATTTGTATGTGCAGATAAAGGGGCGTACTTAATTCTAAGGTCGAACGCTAACTTCACATTTCAATACCAAAACTTCATTATGCGAGTGTACATATAGCTATAACACTCATTCATATTTTAAATGAAATGATCCACTCAGAAATGCTATTATGTTCTGTATTCCTTGCTTCATAGTGGATATGTATACTATTATAACTATATGTATTTCACACCATAATATAATTTATATTTTTGGGTCTAGCAGTCTCGTACAGGCCCTGCCAGAATACCAACACTGTTATGGTGGGAATATTGTCTCAACAATAACAGCATAAAGCTGAGGCAGGGTCCTGATTGGCCTTTTTTTCTCTCTCCATGTTGTTGATATCTGTTTGTTATTAATTTGTTATTGCTATTTTTTTTTTGTTTTTTTTAACCATTATGTGTAAGGCCAATAAAAGCTTCTTTCTTTCTTCATAGGGACCAATATGGCTGGTTTCCTTGCTGGCGTCGGCACTGCATTTGCCAACAGTTTCTGGTCCTTCTGTTTGTGCAGATTCTTCGTTGGTCTGGCGTACGACAACTGTTTCGTCATCATGTATATACTTGGTAAGATATTAATTGTTTAGTTATTATAATGACAGTGGAAAAGCCAAACCGCTTAAACGCCACTTTACAGAAACGAGAAGCAAAGTTTTCTTTTTTCACAAAAAGAACATTGATTGTTTTTTTTTTATTTCTTCTGTGGAACATGTTATTTCTTTGTGATCTTTATTTAAAGCTATCGTATCGTCAATGCTGGGTTGGGATGCATTTCCTCATTACTATCAGTAATTCCAATATTTGGGTAGTTGCTTACCAGCAGCTGAGTCAATGTATTTTTATTAAAGATATCGTATGCCTAATAAAACAGCTTTTTTATTTATACTGTATGACACAGCAAGCAAAATGTGAGTGGCCCTTGTATTGGCAGCGACATGATTTTTTTATAAATGTTACTAAAACTTCTGTTTAATGCTGATGAGTTTCTTGCACCCTTTCTTCTCACCAGCTAAAAGCATATCATAGATTCCTAGCATTTAATATCTTTTCCATGGAATTTTCCATTTATACCGCGTCCGAAAAGAAGTTTCACTTAAAAAATAATGTCTTACAACAAACACTGCGTTCACATTCATGCAAAAAGAACGTCTACTGTAGTAGGTCTTATCATCATCATCATCATCCTATTAATATCCCTACTGCTGTGGCACAGGCCTTCCCTATGGATGGAATAGGAATATTGGGCTACGACCCACCGCGCGGGCCCAGTGCGGATTGGCGGGTGCTAACGACTGCAGATGCAGCCGGGACCAACGGCTTAACGTGCCTTCCGAAGCACAGAGGAACTCGAGATAAAAGATTTTTCGTCACCCATTCAATGACCGACCACTGCGAAAGTTGCTTATCTTCAACGCTCGCAGGCGAAAGCGCTAACCACCCGCGCCATCGAACTCCTCGTAGGTCTTAACATAAATACAATTCTTCCCCAGTGCTCGAGTACGTCGGACCAAAATGGAGGACCTTCGTAGCAAATATGTCCATAGCTGTGTACTTCACATTTGCTGCGTGCATCTTGCCCTGGATAGCGTTAGGCGTGGCCAACTGGAAGTACTACACATTGATCACGAGCATACCTTTAGCACTATCGCTGCTGACTCCCTGGGTAGTGCCAGAGAGTGCTAGGTAAGAGATCATGAACTTTATTGCTAACAAAATGCCAATCGAATTGACAACCTTTTCTTTTAGAATTCGGTTAATAAGAAACTTAGATAAAATGCTAGGTGCCTGACAAATAGCCATGTTTCCATTAGAACGAACCCGTTAAAGGTAAAAATTAAGAAGTCCGCCATGATAATCTTATTGAAACTTTGTTGGTTACTATATTATACCATACGCCTGAAAGCAGCAACCATCTTCCTATTCGAGGAAACACTAACTTTATAGTTAAATTATACTAGGCGCCTTGAACAAGCAGCCATCTAAAAGCAAACGCAAAAGCTGTCACTTAACAACTTTAAAATTATGAATCACATGCTTGTTAAACCCGTAACTACAATAAACCATACGTTTAATATAATATACTTACAGTTAATGGAATATAATTTCATTGTTAAATCCCTATTTTTAAACTAGGGTTAGCGTTATGTGTGGACGAATAGAAGGAACACCACTTGTCTAAGACCGAGGCTAGGATGATCTGGTGTCGTACTGTTCCCGAGAGAATTTAGCAATATTCCCAAAGATGCAAATGTTCCCTGAACTTTACAAAAAGTATTATAACTGGGAGATTTTTAGTGTATCAACTAATTCAGTAGGTTCAGCAAGTAAATAAATAACAGCGAATGTAGCTGATGACTTTTTCACTGTGTTGAATTGAATTCTCTCTTTAATTTCAGATGGCTTATATCTCGCGGCCGGATAGATGAAGCAATGAAGATCATCGCAAAATTTGAAAGGATCAACGGAAAGAAAATACCACTAGCCATCGCTAAAGAATTTAAAGTAAGAGAGAAATAGTATTAGATATATAATTAATATAGAAGTTAGATTTACGCGAGAGCGAAAGCAGAACAAATCAAATATTTTCATGAAAGTTTGATCCACGTAGATGGTGCTGTGGCGCTAGCATAAACGGTTTGCTTAGGCAACTTTTGTAAGACTCCTGTGTACAAAAAATTTAGGAGCTTTCGTCTTTAGCAATCCCGAAACCTCAAGTTGGTACAAATAAAAAAAGATAAGTTCGAACAAGATTAATTAAATGATTGCTATGCTCTGAAATACTAATACAATAAAATAGTAGAATTTGTTTATTAAAACAAATTCTCCTTTTCTCCAGGACACAGCAATCCAAATGGCCAAAGAGGACGAGGAGACCAAGAACTACTCCATAGCTGATCTCTTCAAGACGCCAAGGTTGCGACGTCACACGATCCTCCTTCTCTTCATCTGGACCTCTATCGCCATGGTATTCGATGGACACGTCAGGAACGTTGGGTCTCTGGGCTTGGACATGTTCGTCACTTTCACAATAGCTACTGCCACTGAATTTCCTGCTGATGTGCTGCTCATTCTTCTTTTGGACAGGTTAGATATACTTCAAATAATCAGTCATCATCATCAGCCTGTTGTGGTACAGGCTTTCCCTTCCCAACAGATGGAGTGGAGAGAATGGACCACCACCCACTATAGTGGGATATATGGTGCGTGATTACGACTGCAGATGCAGCCAGGACCAACGGCTTAACATGCCTTCCGAAGCACGGAGTAGTAGGAGATAATAAGTTTTTGGTCACCCATCCAATATGAAAGTCGCTGATCTTCCAATGATCTTCCTTCTCTTCATCTGGGCCTCCATCGCCACGGTGTTCCATGGACATAGGAATTTGGTCTCTGTATACCGGTTAGACCTACTACAAATATATAGTTGCTTTCTGTGATGAATATGAATTCGTAGTAGTTGAAACCATTTGAACTTTTCAAAAGAATTGCTTCTTATATGCTTCCAATTGAAATAAAGATCTAAAATAATTCCTTTTTTGTGAAGTTATTCTGTTTTCAAGGACAAAAAAAATATTCCAGACTATACTTAGTGCTTTTGAAGCGAAAATTTTATCATTTGCTAATTCTACTACATCCATACAGCAACACGATCGACGCGGTCAGTACCTTTAGTACGAGTTTGAGCTCACGAAAACTATCATAGTTTTCGTAATTGTAAATTATGTTTCTATGTCCATTTTGGTGAAAAGTAACCAAATATACTCAAAATTTATGAAGACGCAAATGTTTTAATGATAGAATTTAAACACTCTTTATTTGTGTTGAAACGAAAACAATAAAATCAGTACCCTTAGTACAATGGGGGCCCACGAAAAATATCATAGCTTTCGTAATTGTAAAACTCGTACCAAGGGTACAGGACGGGAGTAGCCATACACAGCGTTCCCTTCTGACGAGTTGGGCATACAAATTGGGCATAAAAACTATACATGTGTGTCATGTATTGTGTCACTGTTTAATAATAATAATTTATTCATAAATGATTTGGTTTACAATAGTTAGTGGCAGGAAGTCCCCTTTTAAGCAAATCAATGCTTGTGCCAGGCGCCTCCGCTCCATTACACATCCATTTTTTATGTAATTTTCACAAACTTAAACAATTTTTTTTTATTCTATTTAGAACTTAGATATAAGTTTGCCTATGCATGAATACGTGTATGTATGTATGCATGTATGTTTGAGCTTGAGCATATGTGTATGTTATGTCTTTGTGTGCGCATGATTGTTTTTGTGTGAACGTGAGTGTTATAATTTAATAAAGGAAATGAGTTTTAATTGTCTGTGTTATTTTATCTGTTGCAAAAATTTTTTTTTTTATTAATTCATTCTCTTTATTTTTCTGTTTATGTGTGAATGTCATAATTACAGTTTTATTTTAAATGCGTGTACGTCAAACTGCGTTTGTGTGTGTATTCCCCCTGCAAAAAAATTACAGAAGGATTTGAATAGTATTAAGTCGCTATGGCTACTGCTTTCTTTGTTGCTCTATGACTTCACCCCCTCCAGTATTGAATGAAGTGGTTCAGCTTTTTATGGTGTACTTTTTGTTATTGTTACAGGTTAGGACGCCGTTGGCTAGCTTTCAGTTCAATGGCGATTAGCGGAGTCTTCAGCTTTCTGGCAACAACTGTCCCCATCGGTAAGAACTTTCAACTTCTCTTCATATATTTCTCCATGAGTTCTAACCTTAACTATTGTCCAATTTTTCATACACTTTTTATTGCTTACTAGCTGTCTCCATAGACCTCGTCCTGTCTGCTGGAAATAATATAAGTGATAAACACGATTGTGTTATCGAGAAGCTGTAAGATGAGTTTTCTCAAATTTTCAAATTTTCTGCGGCCGGCTTAGTAGTGAAATGAGAGAAAAAAGCCTGTCTTACCATACTACTCTCAATTACAAGTTTATTCTATCGGCCCCGATATAAAGTTGCGTGCCAACCACCTTTCTCGATGTGTGTCAGCATGATTTCTAGATTCCACGTTTTATACAACCTTAGACTAAAAAAACGAGTTAACAATTTTTGAACGAAACTATTAATTTTTTTTAGATAAAGAATATTCTCCTTTCTGTATACTAATAACTAACTCTATAATAATACATTTTCATAAAATGTAAACGCTCTTAGGTATGCAATTTTGTAGATCTTTTCCTATAACAAATAAAGCCTAGCCTATAACAATAAAAGTAAGTTTGTGTAATACAATTTCATTAAAAAAATATATATAAAATATAAAAATCAGTATATGTGTGTATGTGTGCGTGTGTGTGTTTGTGTAAGTGTTGTATGTGTGTGAGTGTGTCTGTGTATGTGTGTATGTAACATAAGAAACTTTGCAACCTTACATGACAAATAATTATTTTCTGATTTCTTCACGCAGGCCTACCGTCAGCTTCCCTCGCTATAGTGGGCCGTTTCGCCGTCAACATATCCTTCAATATAGGCATGCAGTATGCAGCAGAGATATTACCAACAGTAGTGAGGGCTCAAGGCCTGGCCCTTATTCATATGACGGGATACGTGGCCACCATACTTGTGCCTTATATCGTGTACTTGGTAAGTTTTCCAGTTGAAAATAAAAAAATATGAAGTAATGTTCAAAAAAATTTTACTAGAAAAAAATCGTGTGAATAGGATACGTGGCCACCATACTGGTGCCTTATATCGTGTATCGGAGCTCGATGGCGCAAGTGGTTAGTGCTTTCGGCTGCGATCGTTGAAGTAAAGCAACTTTCGCAGTGGTCGGTCATTGGATGGGTGACCAAAAATTTACTATCTCGAGCTCCTCCGTGCTTCGGAAGGCACGTTAAGGCGTTGGTCCCGGCTGCATCTGCAGTCGTTAGCACCCACCAATCCGCACTGGGCCCGCGTGGTGGGTCATGGCCCAATCTCCCTATTCCATCCATAGGGAAGGCCTGTGCCCCAGCAGTGGGGACATTAATAGGCTGATGATGATATCGTGTACTTGGTAAGTTTACCAGTTAAAAATAAAAAAAATATGTAGTAAAGTTAGTAAAATTTTTACTAGAAAAATTCCAGTTTCAACATTCCAAAAATTAAAGAAATTTTTTTACTGGAAAAGAATTTACACTGTAAGGCTTGTGTTATATTATGGGATGCTAGGGAATACATAAACTGAACATATACAAGTATATAGAAATACATTTTAAACATCCATGGCTGGAGTACAAATGCTCGTATTCATCACACAAACATCTGCCCCCATCGGAATTTGAACCCGGGACCTCTCGAATCGGCGACACCATGAAACTCGGCGTACATACCACTCGACCACGGAGGCCTTTGTGTTCTATTTAACTTTATAAGTAAGACTGCATAGTTATGTTTTTATTTTTTAAGCATTTAACTGCTAGATGTTAAAATCTAAAGAAAAGTTTACAAGAAAAAAATCCTACGCAGGTTACCTATTGTGGGTGACCTACAATGCGAAGAGATGGCGCTGCCTTGCAGCCTAAGGCTAGAGAAAATTCGACACGGTCGTCATGGCCACGGTAGCATTAGACTGCATAGTTCAAATCCCTGATATAAGAAAGAACTTTAAAGTAACATGCTTTTTTACAGGCGACAATAGCAACGGAAATACCTCTACTCATCCTTGGCGCGCTGGGCATCTTAGGGGGTAGTCTATGCCTGTTCCTTCCCGAGTCTATGGGCAAGGCGATGCCACAGACAATACAGGACGGCGAGGACTTCGGCAGAGGGCAACGTTTCTGGAATATGCCGTGCTGCGGCGCTGGGTAATTAAAATCTGTTTCTAAATCCAAGCTTTTATTGTACACTAGCGGCCCGCCCCCGCTTTCTTCGGTGTAGAGCTGAAGTGTAGACTACAGTTTTTGTTCTCAGGCTTGTATTATACACAATGACATTCATCTATGATTCTTCTTATACCTACATGCAAAGTCTCAGCCCGATCGGTTTAAAATTGACAAAGCTTCGTACAAACTTTCATTCCCTATTTTATCCCCTTGGGGGTAGAATTGATCACAATCCTTTCTTAGCGCGTGCCTACGTCATAACATCTACCTGCATGCCAAATTTCAGCCCGATCCGTCCAGTGGTTTGGGCTGTAATAGATCACTATGTCAGTCAGTCACCTTTGAGTTTTATATATATAGATAGATATATTATGTTTTTTTTCTTTTCAGGAGGAAGAATTCAGAATCTGAGAAATAATTTTGAACCAAGACTGGTGACTCTCCGGAACATCTAAAAATGAACAATTTATAGAACCGATAGTGTACGAACTGAAACTTAGAAAAACGGTTTTCTAGAGCAAACATGGTCTATGAACTGAAAATTAGGAAAAACCTTCTCTATTGTTTATTTCATTATCATCATCATCATCAGCCTATTAATGTCCCCACTGCTGGGGCACTGGCCTTCCCTATGGATGGAATAGGGAGTTTGGGCATGACCCACCACGCGGGCCCAGTGCGGATTGGTGGGTGTTAACGACTGCAGATGCAGCCGGGACCAACGGCTTAAGGTGCCTTCCGAAGCACGGAGGGGCTCGAGATAGTAAATATTTGGTCACCCATCCAATGACCGACCACTGCGAAAGTTGCTTAACTTCAACGATCGCAGCCGAACGCGCTAACCACTTGCGCCATCGAGCTCCTCAATGGAAAAATATTATTTTTTTGATATAAATTGTTTATTTATTTAAGTCTTATTTGAGAAAACTAACAGCTGAACGGCTACAAAATAACACACTATTGATAAAAAAAATTACAAGAAAATATCGACGATTTAAACGACAATCTCAAAAGTGCAGAATCATCATCATCATAATCTATCAGTTGATATTATTATTCTTTTAATCGTTTCGTTGTTATTGTTTAAATATAAAGTAAATTTGACTAGAATAAGTTCCACGCGGACCAAGAGCTTTACTCTCTTTCTCCGAAACGACATTTGGGTAACGAACAAATTTTAAACCAAAATTCGCCATTGACTCTACTCTATTTCATTTTCGAACAGGCACATTATCTTCGGAAACCGTTTTCGTGAACGAATGGAATGAGTCATGTTTGATTCTTTTTATCTCAACTTTTAAGATTAGGTTTTTTATACTTGGAAACAATATGGGTAGTTTACGGCAAATTGTTTTGATGACATTGAAAGAACCTTCTTTGACAGTGTTCGCCGACTAATTTGTAGAGTGGATACAATCTATTGTATGTCAACCTAAATTTGTCGTTTAATACTTTGAAGTTACGGAATTACATTAATTTATAAAAAAAATGGTTTATTTGTTAAATATACATGCTAAAAATGTTTTTTGAGCTAAGCAGCCTTTATTAAAAATGCTCTTGCAAGCATTTTAGGCTTAATTAAAACAAAAATCTCAAAACGAAAATGAATTTCGATCAATTGTCTTTCAAATTCAACTTTTTCTTCGAAAGTTTTGTGAATTAGAGTAGGCTTGGATAATTTAATTGTCAAACTATTTCGGACGCACGAAATTTCGAAATGAAAAGTAAAACAGAGTAAGGAACGTGCGGAATTTCGACCGAAATTTCGTTTTTTGTTGACATAGAGTCTTAGATCAAAACAAAAAGGGTAGATACGGCACTAGCCTCACAAAAGTGATCCGCATAAGTTGTGGCCCAAGGCCACAATCACTTTAGTCACAACTTGACATGCAAACGACGTACATGTGAACGCCAAAAAGAAATATTGCTAATATTTTGTGTTTATATGATAAAACAATGCCTAAGTGTGTTTTTAAAAAGTGCTCAAATTGTTCAAGAACTAAAAATAAAACCCACGGCATCACTTTTCATTCGTAAGTACTATAAAATATATTTTTTCATAAAAATTGCTGTTTGTTTTGAATCTTATTCGGTAGTGACGTCGAGTACTGGTGGCGTGATTGGTCGGTAGTGCAGCGACGCGGATCTCGCCGTCCCGTTCGCGCTGCCGTTGAAACTTAAATTGCTATTTCGTTCGTTCGATTGTATCTTTACAAACAGGTGGATGTGTGAGTGTTGCATATGTAGTAAAGTGGGATCAGTTTTTATTTGATGCAAGTATGAGCGTACCGTATCTACCCTTTTTGTTTTAATCTAAGCATAGAGTAGACCTCCTGGCTTCAGATGAAGTTCAATTTCTTCTTTCAAATGTTTAACGCTTGTAAAGGTTATTATTTGACATTGTTAGTTACCTTCAATGCGAAGAGATGGCGCTGCCTTGCAGCCTAAAAAAATCTAGGCGGTAACATAATGGTCAGTGCCGGATAGGGAAGGGCGCGGGTTCGAGTCCCGTCTGCTGCCTGGTCCGCGTGGTATTTTTTCTAGTAAAAATTTCTTTAGATTTAAACATCTAGCAGTTAAATGCTTAGAAAATAGAAATATAGATCTCCGATTTTAACTCTATTTGTAAAATCTCAGACTACTGGTCTATTAAAATCGGAGACTTCACGCAGTTTCGTTAATTAGGTTAAATAGTGCGTCTTTTTATGTTTACCTAATTTATTTTTTATTTATTAACTAATTCAATATAATATGTAAATAAAAATAAATAAATATTTTTTTATATAAAAGTTCTTCATTTTACCAGCTACCTTTGGATTGCCAGCTCTTTCCAGTATGTGTAAATAGGGGTGATGACGGCGTACAGTAAACGAAATTCTATTTAGTCCTTCAGTTAGATGATCAAAAAATGGACACGTATTTTTTCTGGGCAATCAACCAAAAAATGACAAAGTTATAGCGCGTTAAAGTTTAGGAGTAGGGGCTCGTGACGTCACTTAAGTGAAAATTGTACCAAAACGTGACGTCATGTGACTTTTCAAATCAACATATCTCTGCAATGTATATATTATGTGAAAAAAGAAAAAATACGTGTCCAATACTTTTTGATAATCTACCTGATAAACGAAGAAAAAAAATAGTCATCATACCGAACTTTAACTTTCAAACATCCTTATTAGTAAATGAGGAGTAAGTATTCCAAAACTAGTATTCCACCTTCTCCTTTCCTGCCGAGGACCACGCGCGCTGGCCTACGTTGTCACCGTCTAACTGTGGCCACAATTCCAACGCGTACAAAGAAAATTTGGTGACTCACTTTTTTTCGCACTATCCGTAAATGGAATGCTCTGCCCGCTCACGTGTTCCCTCCCTCTTACAACATGGTATCCACTAAAAGAGGCGTGAAGAAGCAACATGCAGGCTGACAGGGTGAGGATGGCTGGTGTGGCAGGTAGAACTGCTGTATCAGCTATCTTCGCGTCTGGACTTAACATCAGGTGGGGTGGAGTCATTTGTCGGACCTACCTATAAAAAAAAACGACGGGAGTGCCGGCAGAACTTGAATATTGTTTTTGATATTTTGAAATGGTTAGGGAATAATTTTGCACGAATTGCTTTAATTATCAGTATAAAAATACTATGATATATGTGTTAGAAAACAATATTTATTTATTGCGATATCGTACACAAACAAAATAAATTCTTTTGTAATTTTTATCTTTAACTGTACTATATATTGCGATACCCTGACAGGGTTCATGTTAGGTACTATAAGCATTTTGTAACCACATGAGTACAATAAATTGAATTGAATTGAACATGACAATTTATATTACATTAAAAAAGTTTATCTCTCAGAAAACTCAACTTACATTAATCTCGTTTAAGCGCACTTAGCGACATCTATTGTAAAGAAAACAACTTACATGAATCACATTTAAGCGCACCTAGCGACATCTATTGTAAAAAAATGCATTTTCTTCGCAATAAATCTGCCACGTGGACGTCCTTGATAGAGACTTATTGTTATAATACGGTAAAATAAAATATTACTATGTTTCGTCCAATATATTGAAAGTCAACAACCTTTCCAAATTATTTTATTGCAAAAAGAGGTCAAGTTCTTATCATTAGAAACAATGGAATTAAGCAGTAAAAAATTGTAATTGGCTACATGAAAAAAAGGTTAATCGTAAACTGTAATTCGGATAGGCACTACATATGAAACCGTAAACATTTAGTAATGGTCTGATTGAATTGTCGATGAATTCTTACCCCTCGTTTACACCAAGAAACAAGTCATATAATAGTTTTACACAAAACTAGTATAAACTAGTTTTAAACATTGTACAAATTTTGTTAAATACATGTACTATACCTTGGTGTAAACGAGGGGTTAGATAAGTAGGTCAGCCAATTTGATTCCTGTCATGAGCTAGTTCCTAGCATAAGCCCGTAATTCGACCAATCCCTCGTTTTTACCACGCTGATTTGTCAAATTACAATGGAGTTTGACAGTTAGACGCGATAAAAAACGTGATATAATGTGTCTGCCGCGGGATGCCGCTAGGTGGCGCGGTAAACATAGTACTCCGTGTAATAAAATTCCCAAAAATGTTTATAAGTTAAAAATAATCATTAAAAACTAGTTCTGTAGATTTGAAATGTAACAAATACTACGTGTTACTGTTTGTGCAAAAAACGTACGTAAAAAGTACGTACTCGTGGAAACAAACTTGTTTTTTTCTGATCAATCATAATTTGACGTGACAGATTTTGCCAGATTTTGACATAATTTTGACATTAAATTATTTGGAGTGTTGCCCATGAAGTAAGTACTTATTTCCCTTACTTTATTTAAAAAGGTTGGTCGACATCACAGGAGACCGAAGAGCTGGCAGCTACCTCGGACAAAGAATTAGTCTAGCTATTCAAAGGGGGAACGCTGCCAGTATCTTTGGAACCTTGCCTAAAGGGACTCCTTTTAATAATGTATTTTAGTTATTATATATTTTAAGGTTATAAATAAGTGAAATAGTTAATATAGTAGATGTGAAAGTTGCATAATTGCACAGATATTATATTTCCCTTATAGTTTACCAACGTTTTTAAAATGTCAAGAAATCCAAAGAGTTTCTGTTGCTTTTAAGATTTTTAAAGTGATTTCGAAATTCAGACTAAAATAAAGGTAAAATTTCAAATATCTTTGATATTCGCCTTGTCTGTGTAAATAGTAGATTTCTGCCAACGTCAAAAATCCCCCCCTGTCCGTGGAAATGGTGGATTTTTGCCACTCATATACGGTACAAATATTTAGATATACATAGAATAGATAAATAGAAATAGATGCAGAAAATATTTAAGACATAAATGAAGACAATAGGTTCAGTAGAACTCGAAATATTACAGAGGGTTTGACGGCCATTTTGCTAATACAGACCAAGGGATATACATTATCATAGTTTCCTTGTTATTATAAAGTCCTTAGTGCGATTTCGCATTCTCTACAAAAGCAACTTGTCTGTTTTGAAATTTTTAAGTGAAATTTTTATCTAGAACTAATGCATTTAATAACTAACTAGTGGCCCGCCCTCGCTTCGCTTCGGTATTTTATCCCCTTGGGGGTGGAATTGATCAAAATCGTTTTTAGCGGATGCCTACGTCATAACATCTACCTGCATGCCAAATTTCAGCCTGATCTGTCCAGTGGTTTGGGCTGTGCGTTGATAGATCACTTTGTCAGTCAGTCAGTCACCTCTGAGTTTTATATAATATATAGATAGATTAATTTATAAAATCAATAAGTTCATCAGGGCCAATAAAATTCTCAGCAGACACACTTAAAAGAGTATTTTTTTATTGTTTCACTTTGGCCATAATTACAGTTAAGTAGCTACGCAACAAAGTTGGCATTGCATCGAATGCCATCAAAAGATCTTTAATTTATCGACATCTCACAACGCGCAACACTAAAACCGGAGTTTACAAACAAATCAAAAAACAGCCCGCGATAAGAATTCAAATACATCCTTGATTCCTATCGTTCGCACATTTGAACTCATTCATTCACGCAAGCAATGTCACAGTAGCCAATAGTGATGTTTTATTCAATTATCATACCTGTGATTTTCTGTATCAGTGTCATATCCTGTTCTTATTTCGAAGGGGATAACGAAAGTTCAAAAACCAAATTGGATCATACCGGAATATTGAACAAAGGCATTTGGATAAACAACAGCCCAAAAGAAGATTTATACGAAAAGACAACAGGAGATTTCATCTTCAGACCCAACTCTTTAGATGTGGACAATCAATTACAGAATAACTTCGATGCATTTGCTGAGAGCGTTATGCAGAGTGGTCCCATTTTATCTGGTTACGTCGAGAGGAACAAAAGATCCAGTGATTGTAAGTATTATAAAACTAATAGATCTGTCTGATATCACAAGATATTTTGTTGGTATGGTGGATGCCATTTTGAGTTATTATATAATAAGGATGGATGGTGAAGGAGTAACGAAATCAATTTTGGCCACAGAATACAGAAAGAGATGAGAAGGGCCTTGTCAAAAACAATCATGTGTGAGCAAATGCTCATAACTTGTCCAAAACTTGGTTCTGATTCTTGTTTCGTCGTTACTTTCGGGAGTGAGCGCAGATTGGTTCGATTGTTTGATATCGCGTCGTTTGATTGGCTATTATCTGTTAGGTGAAAGTGTAGTGGGGGCGAGCCGGCGACATTCTAGTCTATAATCACCCTTCTAACCTCTTCATGTGTTCTGTGATTTAGTCCATCAGTTAGATTATTAAAACATAATGGACACCTATATATTCTTTTGTCAAGCAACCCAAAAGTTACAAAGATAAAACGTGCCAAACTTTAGGAGAGAGGACTCATGACGTCATTTCTAATTGATTTTGTACCAATACGGGACATCATGCGGGATTTTAAATTAATATATCTCGGTCCTGTATTGATTATGCGAAAAAGACAAAATACGCGTCCAATACTTTTTGATAATCTTCCTGAGTTGAAGTTAAGCAACTTTCACATTGATCGGTCCAATGAGGATCCAATGAGGATGGGTGACCAAAAATCTTCTATCTCGAGCTCCTCCATGCTTCAAAAGGCACGTTAAGCCGTTGGTCCCGGCTGCATCTGCAGTTGTTAGCACCCGCCAATCCACACTGGGCCCGCATGGTAGGTCATGGTCCAATCTCCCTATTCCATCATAGGGAAGGCCTATCCAGCAGTGAGGATATGAATAGGCTGATGATGATGATGAATCTACCTAATATACAAATAAAAAAAGTTAGTCATCATCCCTATTATAAAACCAAGCCCCCACTGGGTCTATCTGTTTGCAATGATGTCACGTATGTTTGCAATGATCTCTAAAATACGAAACTTTTTACAGTTGAAAGAAAAAGTCTTCTTAATAATAATCTGAGTTGCAACGGTGACAAAAAATGCACACAAATGAAAAAACAAAACGACAAATCTTCACTGATCAAATCTAAAATGATATCTGTACTAAAACCGGCTTCTGTCTTCAATGATTACCCTTACGAAGTTGCTGTCATGTTAGGAGATAACAAAGCTGATACTCCGAAAACCATTAGAAAAATTAAGGAAATTGAAGACCCTTCTAAGCTTGTTATAGCATTGAACGAAAGTAAAAATCAATTACAAGACAAAGCCGATCCAAGTACAGACTCACAGGTACGAAATAGCATCAAATATAACAATACAAATAATACCAGCAGTACACCTAAAAGAAGTATGAAGAATGACTATGAAACTGAAATCATCAAAAAGATAGAGTACACTGAAGAAATCGATAAGTTCAATGAAAGTATTAATAAGAGTAAAGTAGATAGAAATGTGTTTGCTAATCAAGAAAGAGATTGGTACCAGAACAGTTCTCCACTCAACATTAGACACGAAGCTAGTTCTTACAATGTAGAACCACATAAAAACAAGCCCGTGAATGAGAGAGGGCTTATCAAAGTGCTTTCAATGTTGACGAAAACTTTTAAAAAGATAATGAAACAACACAATGATATAAGGAAGATACACGCAAAACTCAGTAACCTTAACGTTGAAATTATGAAAAATATAACGGACTTCACCAAAAAAACTGCAGATATTGAAGAGAAATATTTATTTATTCTTGGCGTAGCTAAGAAAATTAAAGAATTCAAATCAAAAATGGATCTTAAGGAAGAATACTTCAAAGTCAAAGATAGAGAAATGTCTAACAATTTGGTTGAGTTCGAAAATCAACAAAAGAAATTTTTGATGCAGCAACGTCAGTTTTACAACATACAGAAAATAATGCTAGCACAAAACGAGAAGATAAACTTAAAACAAAATTTGATTGCTAAAACTCAAAGTGAAATATCTCACAGGCAGTATAACTTCGTTCGTATATTAAAGAAAGCTAAGCAAATTTACATTGATAACAAATATTCAAATCCTATCAAGCCTTTAACAAGTACATTGAAACCAAATAGTGATTTCCCACCTACAGAATCTCCTAATAAAATAACTCATACGACTACTCAAGATCCTTATACAACTGAATCAATAAAAATCAACCTTTTTTCAATACCAGCTTTTGACAAATTAGTGAACCAAGATAAATTGATTTTAAAAGATAAAGATGAACAATCTGTAGACGATTTAGTTTACAAATACTACTTTAACAACACTTTTATAGACAACCTCATGAAAGATAAAATACTTTCCAATTTTATGATTACGGGTGAAAACACAGAGATTACTAGAAACACAAAGAATAAAAGAGACGAAGAAATAGTTGAGAATACTTTACTGTTACCTGTGAAAAAGGAAGAAATCAAAGGTTTCGAAGGAAAGTTGCACAGAGAAAAGCGATGGATTCGACATGCTCAATCGAAATCGAAGTTGAAACGTAAATCACGTGGGAAAGAACATAACGAAAACGAAGATATGAAAGACGAAAAACCTTTGAAACAGAAAAATCAAGAAGTTACAACTACCATAGCGGATATTAACAAAGTCATTTCAAATAAAATTAAAGAAAAGAATGATCCTTTCGTCGTCATGGCTAAGAGTTTTTGCAATGAGATTGGACACAATAAAAATGACCAAGCCCTGCATTGGTGTGTAGAAAAGGCTTTAAGAAGATTACAACACATAGGTGAGTTAAGAATTATTTAATTTACGAATAAGATAAATAAATATTTACCATACATTAAAATATTACTTCCATAGTACAATTATTGTTTAAATGCTCAATTTAATTCTAATACACATTAACAAACCACTTCTTATATATTTATCTGACTTTGGATTTACGCTTAAATCACTTTAGTAGGATTTTGGTGTTGCCGATTTTTATTAAAAATTTGGCAATCTCAAAGACATACAAAGAGAGCAGTGGTAACAAACCAAGATCATAAAATAGCTGCCTGCAAGACTCGTCAGATGGAATTCCACATATCGCTCTGATGCACTTTTTTTGTGCCCTAAATATTCTGATCAAGTCAGTACAATTTCCCCATACCACAAGACCATAACGTAGTACCGATTCAATGTAGGAGTGATACGAGAATACTGTTGTATTTTATTAGTTACTTTTTTAACTTGTAGTAATGTATACGAAAATTTGTCAAAGAAAGTAGCCTTCAAGACTGCAAGATCATTTGAATAAAATGCATCCAGGTAAGAAAGTCAAGTAAACAGCATATTTGCAAGACCTAGAGAAGAAGCATAATACCCAGCTAAGTGTAGCAAAACTCTTTTTGGTGGCTGCTAAGCAAGATGACGACGAACTTCGAGTTTCGTACAATATCTCTTAGTGTCGCCGCACACGAGCCACACGCCACAGCCACAAACACTGCCACGAGAAGCTAGAAGCGGCTACTAAAGTGGCTGAAGCGCGCGACAGCGTCCGACTAAGGTAAGGGAGAGAGGGGTGGGGAATCGTGCTAGTGACGTGCGGCGGCGTTTTGTATCGGCGCATTAAGTGGTCGGTGCGGGCCACAAGAAGCGAGCATCGACGATTTGTAGCGTGTGGCGGCCACCGGCGTACCGTGTGTGGCGAGTCCATATAAAATGTATGAAAACTGCAAGAAATATGCCGGTGGCGGCGTTTTATGATTGTGGTCGCTGGCCCGTGTGCGGCGACACAAGTCAATTTCTCAAAAAGGCAAACCACACAATATCGGAGTACAGTTCTTTTTGCCAGCAATACAGGAAGTAATAACTACTGTTCTTCATACACTGGCCGCAGATATTAACCGAAAAATTCCTTTGAGTAATAATTCCGTGCAAAGACGAAGTGATGAAAGGGCTGAAAACATTGAAGAATCATTGTGCAATCATCGGAGGACTAGTCAATTCTCAATTCAGCTCGATGAGTCCACTTTACTAACGAATGAAGCATGAGAAAACATGTGAAGAACTATTTTATGCTAGAAATTAAGAGACCGATACAAAAGGCGAAATCATATTCAATACATGAGAAAGAGATTCTCTTGAGAATATTATATAGGTTGTTACGGATGGCGCTTCGGCTATGACAAGGTGCCATAAAGACTTCATAGCGTAATTAAAAAATAAAATTCCAGAAGTCCTTGCTGTACCTTGCATTATTCATAGACAACATTTGGTTGCTAGTAATTTAAGTGAACGACTATTTTAATCATGCAGTGACTGAAATAATAGATTATTTCATCAGCTTTGTGTTACTAATGACGAAGATTTCAACCGTTTGCTGTTCCATAATGAAGTTCGTTGGCTATTAAGAGGCAATTGTCTAACTCGATTTTACAGCCTGTTTGACTCTGTAATAGAGTTCTTGGAACCTAAAGATATAGAATTGTGCAACAAGCTCATTACATCAAAGAATGATATAGCTAACAGACCTGTATAAATTGTTCAATGACATGAATCTCTACCTGCAAGGCGATGAACAAAATTTTATTGAAACAAAAAATGTCGTTGCTGCTTTCGTAGCCAAACTGCTTCTACACAAAATGAATATAAGCAGACGTGAGTTTCACAATTTTTCGAATTTACCAGTATCCTACAGTAACGATGACTTGTTTGCCTACTGCCAACATTTGGAAAAAGTCCACTTCACCGAACGATATCAGAACATTTTGAACTTGGAAATACTAGATTGAGTATTGCATCCATTTTCAAATGTCAACACAGCAATATCACCTCAGCTGGAAGGAGAACTTAGAGAATTGACAACGAACGAGGAAATAGGGGTGTCGGGTGAGGCGGGTCGTTGCGTGCCCTAAAAAATGATTGAGCGAAGCGATGACTGGTTCAAGCGTCATGCTCGTGAACGGGTGCTGCCAGCGGAGATGAGTCTGCTCTTGCTTCATTGGGTTAATCGTTGTACTAAACTTTAATCGTTAATTATTATTTTTTGCCTAAACAGTAGGACACGGCATTTCTAAACTTTGTTAAACCAGTTTCTTATATTTTTTTTTTAATTTATAAGTAATAATTTTTATATTATTTGCATATTTTGTTTGCAATGGAAAGTGACTTTATGAGTTACCTCATATTGAAGTCATTTTTCAATTTGACGACTCTGTATATATTACAGGGAGAGAAAAACAGCCCTTGCTGAGTTTCTTACCTGTTTTTCTCAATACAAGGTCTCCCGCCGTAGATTTGCGAACCGATGGCGTAGCTTTTCGACATTCACAAGTGCTTTTTTGAATAAACATATTCTAAAATGGATACCAAGAATACTATTACAAAAACCGATCTCGCTATTGTACCCTGGATTATGGTCAATCGTTCAACGATTCTTGATAGCATTCCCATCGTCATAATGAGGGCTACCGTTTTCTGCCTCACCAGATGGCGCCACAATTGTAACTTTTAAAGTTTATTAATACATGAAATCAAAGGTTACATTTAGATCGTATTTTAACACAAAAGAACCATATCCTAAACATAATAGGTCATGCCACAGTGACGCGCAGTTCCGTTTTATTCGGAAAAAATGGGAACATAATCATTTTTCTAAGCTCAAATTTTTAATAACTGACATTCATTGCCACATAACTCATATTTGCCATAATTAAGCCGAATTGTTACCAATTATTCACAACATTATTTTAATTAGAAATAAACCCGCGTAGTCAACCAACAAGCAATAACATTTGACATTTCGGAGACCTCACGCTACACTAGCGCCTCTAGCGGCGGATTCATACGCGATAGCCCTCATTGTGTGAACGTGGATTTAGTGCTGTGGCTGCGCTGCTTATTAAAAAAAAGAAATCGTTTGCATGTTACCGAACGTGCGACTTGCGGCTGTTCTAGAGTAAATTCCAACCTGTAAATTGATATCTACAAACTAATTAAACAGCATCAGATTCATCCTTAACATTCGTTTTTATAGTAGAATCATTTATGTTTGTTTTATTTTGAATAAAAGATACTCTGTCTGAATACTACAAAGTTGCGTTTCGTTTTACTTAGTACTTTAACTGCAGATGATCGTATAATAATTGGAAATGCTTTGAAGAGTCAACCATATAAGAGAAAGAAATGAGGTTGAGTATGAAGGAGAGATATTAGAAATTGAGAAGAGGTTGAATATCAAGAAGTAGATACGAGGACATTTATATGAAGGAATTAAAGTTTTGGATTTGGATCAATCTTTCAGTGATTAACGGAGTAGTTAACAATTTCAGAAAAAAAAACTTTTTCTTATTTTATTTATATACGAGGGGCGGCTGAAAAGTTTTGAGCCTAAGGTATTAAAAATGCTGATAGAAATGTATAAAAAAATGTTTTTCAATATAATCTCCCTCTTATTAAATGCACTTCCTACATTTATTAAAAAGAGCTTTTAACCCGGTAAAAAAATATTCTCCGTCTTAGCCTTCAAAATATTCATTAACGGCCGCCTTACTTTTCTCGTCACTTGAAAATCTTCGTCCCCGGAGGTCTTATTTCAAATTGGAAAAAAGGAAATAGTCGCTGGGGGCCAGGTCTGGGCTGTAGGGTGGGTGGTTTACTTCTTCAAAGCCTGTTTCGTCGAGGGCACGCCTTGCAACTCGAGCAGTGTGGACGGGCGCATTGTCTTGCAAAAACAGGACTCCTTTTGCCAGTTTGCCTCTTCTTTTCTCGACAATCACTTGGCGAAACCTTTGTCAACAATGCGGCATAAAAGTCGCCGTTCATCGTAGTATTTTTGGGAAGGTAGTCGATAAACAAAATTCCTTCAAAATCCCAAAAAATGTCACTGATTCGTTCTTTGCTAATGCCTATGGCATCAGCTAACTGCCACAACTTGATTCGCCGATCTTCCAGAACAACTTTTTTTTTTACTTTTTTAATGTTTTCTTCGGTAACGGCGGTGTTTGGGCGTTCCGACCTGGGATCATGTTCAAGCGACTCCCTGCCGTGTTTGAATTCACGGCTCCAACGTTTGAAATGTGAAAATGAAGGTGCTGACTCCCCATAAACTGCAGACAACTCTTTAAATATTTCCGTCGGCGTTTTGTTTTTCTTTGTGAGGAATTTTATGACAGCTCTGTACTCCAATTTCGTAGAAAGCGCTGATGAGTCAGACATGGTGATGTTTAGGCTGAGCGCAGATTAGCGTCAAGACAGTCTCAAGACAGACTATTGCTCAACAAAAATTATGAAGATGCGCACATTCGAAACGAGACGTCTCATAGACAAAAAAGTCTTATGTACACAAGAACTGCAAAGCGACAACTCTGACTAACGACTGTCCGCTTCCCTTTGTAATGTATGCGAGGGCGCACACCAACGACAAGATTATCTAGCGATTAGAAAGAAAGTATAATACATACGATAAATAAGTAATATGTGGGTCCATAAATTTTGACAAATTATCAAAGATAGATTGAAACATTCATTCGAAATGGTGCCTTAATTTCTATAAAATAAATAATCGGTGAAATCTATTCTGATACTGATGAAAGTAGTGTGTGTCGCATCGTAGACAAAACAGTTTCGTCTTGGTGTGCGCCTTGTGGTAGACACAACTGTTTCTTTTTAATTGTAAAACAGTCTCGTCTATGTAAGACAAGATTGTCTAACAACAGTCGTGTCTCTAATCTGCGCTCAGCCTTAAGGTTCAATTACTAAAAATGTAATGATGCTAATGACATGAAACTTGGTATTTAGATTATTTAGAATACCTTCAATTATTGGTCTATAGCACTACTCATTCCAAGCTGGAATTCATTGCCTGCTTTATGTTTCTTAATATAACCAAACAGAATTGTACTGTTTGTAATTGAAGAGTTTCCTCATTTCGCCTCTCAAAGTACTCAACAGATCTTCATCTAATTAATGTGGGACTTACTCGCCAAAAAATTTTGATTGATTAAGACATAAATTCTGGCCAAGAGCGAGTCTTGTATCGCTCTATTAGGGTGCCATGCAGACAAAAAATCCTATTAATGAAGTTACCTAATACCACTGACTTATGAAATAGTTCGTTTTCGAGCACTAGCGATATCTATATCGTAGTGCGAAATATACCGCGAAGGAAAAATAATTTGTTCTACCCTTTTTTAAGGGCGTTTGACTCCGGGCAGGGTCTATTGAGTTTAAACAGCGATTTCAGAACGATCACAAAGGCGATTAAAGTGCAAGTAAAGTGTTCGTGTGCGATTGTATAAGGACTTATATAATTTATAGTAAGTGCATTGAGACTAATTTTGAGTATTTACTGTATGAACTGTGTAGTGAATAAAGAACTGTCAAGCGTAAACTGACATTTTCATTTTGAACCCCATACCGACACGTAGCAATATTCATATACTACTGAACTCGCTCTAGACAAGAAATATATCATATGTACATATAAGTACCATTTGTCTCTAACACTCGTTCAGGTTGACTGGTAGAGAATGCCTATGGCATTAAGTCCGCCGTTTGCATATGTATGGCAATGAAGTTTAAATAAATAAATAAATAAAATAAGACCCCCAATAAAAGTAGTAAATTAAATTTTGAACTAAAAAGTCGGCTTTGGGCAAGCATTCTTTTAAAAATGTAATAATTTCTGTTCCGTAACTCATTCCGTTTACGATCTAGCTAGAAACCCGTGGAATACGTACAGACAGACAGACGACAGAATGTCAGCAATAGAGCTTTGATTAAAAATCAATTGCTGTACGTTAGTCTCGCTAAAACTCGAGAACGGCTGAACGGATTTATCTTATCTTGGTCTTGAAATGTTCGTGGAGGTCTAGGAAAGGTTTAAAATGTGAGAAAAATTCGAATTCTACACTACAGCTCTACACCGAAGCGAAGCGAGGGCGGGCCACTAGTATAGTGGTATAATATATATATAATTGAGAACCTCCTCTTTTTTAAGTCAGTTAAAATAAAGTATCAGGACTAAGTAATTAAACTATAATCAGTACTGCTATGTGCAAAGTTTTATTTTCGCTGCTCTCTGTCCACTGCAGACTTATCGTGGTTCAATTTTAACAACCACAAACTATAAAGTGATGCTAGTTAATAACGAAACAAATGTAACACAGCCCCAATTTCATGTCAAGAATTACTGACAATTTGACAATTATGTCGACTTAAAAATTGTCGTTGAAATAAGATACGGGCAATTTACAATAGGGTATTTGACAAGTTTTAGAAAACGATCTCACGTTATTGACTAATGTTTATGGAGACCGTAAAATGGATATTCATCATTCTGTTGTGTATTTCAGTAAAAATAACCAAATCAAAAACTCCATTTTCAAGGTGCCGCGAAAACGTTTCTCTGGACAATATGGCGTCTTACTAGTGTGTGACGTCACACGACTGTTATTAAAACGTCAAACGATACAATGTAATGTCATTTTAACCGGAAGTTTCCTTGCGTGTTTTTGGGTCACGTGACAATAGACAAGAAAACTATTATCTTTTTCATGGGTTTTTAGTAAGATTAAGAATATTTTTTTTGTTAAAAATAGTAAAAACCCCTGCCAATATTCATTCTAAACACAGATGCTAACACAATTGGCACTTTATTTTTAATACTGTCAAATACCCTATTGTAACATTCATTCATTATGTCGACTGACTAGATATTGATGTATTCAATAAATCTGTAGTAAATCGCTTTACTGTATTGTCAATAATTTCAGCAGCATATATACGAGATTTAAGGTTCTTTTTTGGTATTCTTTTTCACAGGTTAGGTTACACTATCGAAGTTTTCTTACTGCATACCTTAACTGTTTTAAAAGTACTTTAATGCCTTTGTTCATCAGGGATAACGTAGGATTCTAAAGGGTACGGTAGTTTCAGAGTCCATTCAATGCAAAAGAAAAACAAATCCTTCTTCTTTAAAAAATGAATCATTCACTCTTCAACAGATCCTTGCAGATCACACCTCAAATCCCTTCTAAAATGTCCCACCCACAACACTAGTTTCGCATCTTTTTCCTTCTCAGTACATGCTGTCCGTCTGTGGAATTCGCTGCCAGCAGAAATTAGAGACTCTAGTTCTGTCTCAGTGTCACTGCCGGATTTAGGGGAAGGCAACTGGGGCGAATGCCCCGGGCCTCCACAAACGGGGGGCTGCCACAATAGAGACTTCAGAAAAAATATCTTTCAAATTCCAACTAGTAAACACTAGTAAACATCTTTTCGGTTCCGTTCGTTAACTCTAAGATTTAATTTCAGATAATTCTTGTTTCCGTTTATATTTATATTTGTTTATTCAATACTAAGGGAATCTACTTGGTTCACAATAAATTATTTAATGAAAAACTCGACTGAAAATAAAAATGTTTACTTTATTTGGAGGCCTCTGGACCTCTAAATCCGGGCCTGCTCAGTGTTCAAAAAACATCTGAAGGAACACTATTTATCTTCTTGCCCTTGTTCATCTTATACGAGAAGAGAAACCTTCTCGCCGTCCATATTATATGTATGTATGTATTTATTTATCAATTTCATATGTGTATGTATTTATTCATTATTTAAGTACTTGTATATATTTAACTACATATATATGTAAACCCTATATTTATTGGTATTAACATGTATTTATATTCAGGTGTACACTCTGACTACCTTTACCTATATTCTTTCCTACTACGGGCCTACTGGAAGAAATTTCAGATTGACACAAGTTTATTTATTTTATTTATTTATTTAATCTTTAGTGCCTTATATACAAATGCCGGACTGCCCTTCCAAGTTGTGCCCTTGTACATGTTATCTTTCTCCTGTATTATTTTTTGTGTGTACAGAATATATAAATAAATAAATAAAAAATCTTGACATAAAATCGCATACGAATCTCCGTGAAATAAAAGCTCTAAAATAATACATGCGAATTTATCTGGAACGAATACATTCCTCCTTTGATTATCACCGATTTTGTGTTGAAACCACATGTTCTGACTAAAGATGTAGAGTTTGTACACAGTTTGTGAAGTTATTAAAAAGATTTCATGTCACAGGCGTAATCAAGTTGCGTTATTATTTTGAAAAATCACTTATTTTGACATTTTAAATGTATTTTTATTGTTACCATTAAACAGGTACATTTTTATAACTTCCTAGAATAATATTCAACTCAGCCTAGGAATCGGGCTAAATATTACCTATTAAATACGTACCTATGTAGTAAATATTCTTCCAGTTAATTTTTATATGAAAAACTATTTATTTATCAGTTGTATATAAAAAAAATAACATAAGTATAATGTTATTTGAATTTTCCAGATACGATAATGCCCATTGCAGCCCAGTTACCGACTGGTGGGAATGAAGTCAAATCCACAGTGATTCCTTTAACCAAAGAATCGAAAAAAATCAGCACGTCTAATAACATCCAGAGTGCTACGTATAAAGGTAGGAATTATTTAAAAGGCCACTTTATATAATAAGCTAAAATGAAGTAGATAATTAAAGTCTTTTTGACGTGACAACGTCTTAAATTAGGTTGCGGCTGGGAGTCACTTATGAAAAAGTGTAACGCTCGGTAACGTTACGATGAGTCTCTCGTGTTAAGTTTAAGTTTACATGTACAATGTTTTAGTAAACAAAATATATTTCTATAGTTAAAATTTGTGCAATTCTTATTTTCATTCAATTCCTTGTTCCTATTGTGCAATTTAATTATATTCATATCAATAAATATTCTACCGAGAAAAAGACGTTGTCACGTAAAATCTTCGCCCGTAAAACCGACTTTACAGGCAACCATTTTTTTTGATGTTGAACATCTTTTGGCTCACGTGAAACCGATTTCTGGCGTGGCGACCAACGATATTTTTTTTTTTAATAATAATAATAATATTTATTTCACAAGCCAGTTTTACAAGAATCGTACATCACAATATACACTATAGCTTAGAATAAACATTTATAAACATTTATAGTACCCTCTGTGCCTGTACTAGGTTATAAAAATACCTGTATCACAGACACAGCGCTCATCCCTAAGGACCAGTTATACAACCTTTATGTAAGGAAAAAAATACAATTCTTGTGTTAGCTTAACAAAGTTAAATCAAAATATTATTTAAGTAGAAATTAATTATTTATGTGTTTATAGAACCTCCTTTTGTGTGAAGTGAATGTGAATGTGTGTGTGTAGGAGGGTGTGTGAAGATTGGACTTTAGATGTCGAGTATACACATGAAGTAAAAAAATGAAAATGTAAATGAAAAGTATATACATGAAATACACAATTTACAACTAAGATTGGATTTTTAAAAGGTTTTCTGTGCTTGCATAATTTAATTGTTTAAGCCAATTACAAACTTTGGATTTACACTGTGCTTTGTTGAGGGGATATATATTTAAAATTTTATTTATTTGTTTGTAAATGTAGGTGCCAATGAAACATGTGAATTTGTGCATGTATGAATGTTTAAAGGACGGTATAACACAAACTTTATAGTCGCGTCTAGTACTGATGTAGTTTTGGTCGTATGATGTAACTGAGTGTTGTTTTAATATACAAGCTAAGATAAAAATCTGTCGCACAGTTAAGACGTCACAAGACTGATACTAGATACACCAACACGAACACAATCATGCCCGAAACCTGTCCACAAGGTACATTGGACGATCCACGGAGCTCCGTAAGATGATCGCGTAGTCTAAACAATATAAGGCATTATATATATAAAGCGCACGCGTCATAGAGTTATGACAGTCCGATATGTAAGCAACTGAAGCAGCAGAAGAATAGCAATCTGCATATATAGCAATAAGTTGTAAAAAAAAAAATGGTTGCCTGTAAAGTCGGTTTTACGGGCGAAGATTTTACGTGACAACGTCTTTTTCTCGGTAGAATATTTATTGATATGAATATAATTAAATTGCACAATAGGAACAAGGAATTGAATGAAAATAAGAATTGCACAAATTTTAACTATAGAAATATATTTTGTTTACTAAAACATTGTACATGTAAACTTAAACTTAACACGAGAGACTCATCGTAACGTTACCGAGCGTTACACTTTTTCATAAGTGACTCCCAGCCGCAACCTAATTTAAGACGTTGTCACGTCAAAAATTTTTTTTAAAGACCTTATTGCTTTGACTGTTCGCGCAATTCTGAATGCGCTGTTAGTAAAATAGCAGGTACGGTCCGCGAGGAAAAGAGACGGCTATATTATCGATCATACATTTGAATATTATGAATATTTTCTATTAAATCAATTTATAGTAAGTATTAAAACAAAATTTACATCAAATGCGTTAAATTAACAAACATTGAATAGATACCTGTCGAAAAAACGACATTTTACATTCTTTATGTATTTCTTTCGCCTGTTTTCACGGAGCTCAGCGGCATGTTGACTTTTCAACGGTCCCCGCGTGACTGTGAATCAAGAAGTGCTTGAGTGGTGTTCAAGCACTTCTTGATTGGGACACATTTTGAGTACACGTGGTGTATCTAGGGTATTTAATATCGTTGATGGCGACGCTCACCCGTATGCAATATATACCCGTGCTCATTTACTCGCCGATCAGTACGGCGCCAGCGCCTTTCGAAGCATGACTTATGTCATTTTTACCGCACGCATACCGAGCAATTCTCCGAGTGCATTTATCGTAAACCGGCTAATGTTTCAAATCTACCAGACGTCCCGTAACGGCTCGCATTTTTCTGTATTTTTTTTTGTCTGTGTCTGTTTACTTTTGGCACAGAAATTTCTCCAATGTCCCGAAGTGAGTGAGACACGAGAGAAATCGCTCGGTGTCGGTTGATTATGTGGAAAAATATAAAATACGTGTCCAATACTCTTTAATAATCTACCTGATGGAAGAAGGAATAAAATTAAGTAACCATCCCTATTTTGTTTGCTACAGTTCTAGGTCCGTCTACACTGTCGTCAGTTGTACCGATTACGACATCGTCTATCGTAACACCTGGTAGACCTGGTCCCGAGTCTACGTCTAACGTCTATTTTCCAGGTAAGAAAAATAATATGTCAGAAACTCCATGGCCCAAATGGTTAGCGCATTCGGCTTGCATACGTGAAAGTTAACAAACTTTCGCATTGTTTTTTTTTGTGTGTGTATGCTGTTGGTCACAGATGACCTTTACAACATCAGATCCTAAGGGGACCTCAAGTTGAGAATTGGCGAGTGCCTCTAGAGGTTTTCCAGGCGGAGGGCATCTCCCCGCGGGAGAAGTCTCCTCTCCGTCTGGAGCCTTTAGACCACTCGAACCTGAGGGTCATTGGATAGGTGACCAAAAATCTTTTTATCTGGAGCTCAACCGTAATTTGGAAGGCACGTTAAGCCGTTGGTCCCGGCTGCTTATGCAGCATGACTGCACCGCATGGTGGGTCACGGGCTCACGGCCAAATCTCCTTATACCATCCATAGGTAAAGCCTGTGCCTCAACAGTGGGGACATTAATAGGCTGATGATGATGATGATATTTGCTTGATTTATAAATCTTAAGAAAATTTGACAAGTAGATTTCACCTTCACATTTCATTTAGTTACCTAAACTGCGAAGAGATGGCGCTGCCTTGCAACCTAAGAAATGCTAGAGAAAATTCGATTGGGCCAACAGAGCCGCGGTAGCATATTGGTCAGTGCATCATGTCGCCATCAAGTTTTTATATTTTTTACTTAGAATTGAAGGGCGTCACGAACCACCACTCCCAAACTTTGACGCGCTTTAATTTTGCTATTTATTTTTTGTTGTAAGAGAAAATAACTGAAAATAATCTTACTGTCAAACTTAATAGAATTTCGTTTAATTAAACCCGTCATTATGCCCTATTGAATGTAATAAAATAACGATTTATTTATTATTATTGCAGATAATGACGAATTAGAACTGAATCTTAAAGAATTCGGTGAGTAATGCTTTTTTAAGGTTTTTCCGTAATACAATAATATTATTTGTATTTATACCCTACAGGTATAGTACAGATATTGTGTCATTTAATGTTTCTATATGGTATGTATTGGAAGCGAAAAAACTTATCTATACTTATAATAAATCTGTAGAGAGGTCAATTCTGTACATGAAATAAATTTTCAAAATAACTGTCAGTGGGTGATTAGTGATCGATACTGATGCCAAAAATGCAATCAGTAAAATTTTTGTCTGTCTGTCTGTCTGTCTGTCTGTGTGTATGTTCCTTATAGAAACAAAAACTACTCGACGGATTTTAACGAAACTTGATACAATTATTCTTCATACTCCTGGGCAGGTTATAGTATACTTCTCATCACGCTACAGTCAATAGGAGCAGAGTAGTGAAGGGAAATGTTGGGAAAACGGGAGAAGTTACTCCATTTTTTTAGCTTCCGTTGCGTGTGCAGCCTTAATGGTTAAAATTGTCTAAAAAATATCCCGCAACAGCATATGTCTATCTTTTATGGTTGACTCACAATAACACGTGTAACTCCTCATAGATTAGCAGTTCGGAGCATTCTGATTATATTTGTTTACTCTTACGTTTATAATACTCTCACTCATCCCTAATTTAAAAAAGTTAACATTATTACCTATTCAATAAAAAAAGAATCATAGAAATCGGTATAGAAACACCAAACTTATACATGAAATAAGTCATCGCGCCGTCGCACGTAAATACTGAATCATGCTATAAGGATTATTTTTGTGTAACGGTTGCCGCGCTCGACATGGGTCGCGGCGGCGGTAGGTATAAGAAGAATGCCATTGTGTATAATACAGGCCTGAGAACAATAACTATAGTCTTCAGCTCTACACCGAAGCGAAGCGAGGGCGGGCCACTAGTCTTATATAAATATATAAAACTCAAAGGTATGATGATATGACATAGTGATCTATCAACGCACAGCCCAAACCACTGGACGGATCGGGCTGTAATTTGGCATGCAGGTAGATGTTATGACGTAGGCATCCGCTAAGAAAGGATTGTGATCAATTCTACCCCCAAGGGGATAAAATAGGGAATGAAAGTTTGTATGAAACTTTGTCAATTTTAAACCGATCGGAATGAGACTTTGCATGCAGGTATAAGAAGAATCATAGATGAATGTCATTGTGTATAATACAAGCCTGGGAGCAAAAACTGTAGTCTACACTTCAGCTCTACACTGAAGCGAAGCGAGGGCGGGCCACTAGTTTATTTATAAGGTTCACCAACATAAGTTACAGCAGTTCTTGGTAAAATCAAAGCTAAAATTTCTTATAGCTTACTGCACTTACAATTAAGGTAGCCACAGCATGCGTTGATAAAAAAAACAACAAAATAAGCAAGCAGCATAAAAAAATGAAGCATACACTACAAGCATGAACTTCTAAAAGGCGTCAGCTTTTTTGCAGTTTCATAAACTCAGAAAAACTTTGAAAATGGATTTCTAGCACTGGCAACTTTATAGCGATATCGTTGTACAAAAATATGGTAATGCTTAAGTGTCGCCGCACACGGGCCACCGACCACAACCACAAAACGCCGCCACCGGCATATTTCTTATAGTTATCATACATTTTATAAGGACTCGCCACACACGGTACGCCGGTGACCGCCACACGCTACAAATCGTCGTTGCTCGCTTCTTGTGGCTCGCACCGGCCACTTAATGCGCCGATACAAAACGCCGCCACACGTCACTCGCGCGATTCCCCACCCCTCTCTCCCTTACCTTAGTTGGCTGCTGTCGCGCGCTTCAGCCACTTTAGAGTACCCGCTTCTAGCTTCTCCTGGCGGCCGCGGCGTTTATGGCTGTGGCGTGTGACCCGTGTGCGGCGACACTAAAAGTTTTTTACGCCCATTCTTCTCATCAACTAAAAGATGCCCTAAATAGTTGGTACGAAAAATATTGGACAAAAAAGGGATTTCGTCCAATATTTTTCTTATAGCAAAAAATAAGTTAATTCGAAAAAAGTATGATTTCATTTAATTTTTAAACAAATGAGTTCTTGCTGAATTTCAGCCTATATTACTGCTATATTACTGCAAAAGGACTTTATTTCATGAATGAAATATATATATATATATAACTCAAAGGTGACTGACATAGTGATCTATCAACGCACAGCCCAAACCACTGGACGGATCGGGCTGAAATTTGTCATGCAGGTAGATGTTATGACGTAGGCATCCGCTAAAAAAGGATTATGATCAATTCTACCCCCAAGGGGATAAAATAGGGAATGAAATTTTGTATGAAACTTTGTCAATTTTAAACCGATCGGGCTGAGACTTTGCATGCAGGTATAATAATAATCATAGATGAATGTCATTGTGTATAATACAAGCCTGGGAGCAAAAACTGTAGTCTACACTTCAGCTCTACACCGAAGCGAAGCGAGGGCGGGCCGCTAGTAAATATATAAAAACTAGTTCGACGATCAAAGTAGGTAATGAGAATGAAGGTACGCTTATTTGTATCTTATTTATTTAGCCGCGCTTGTTTGTTAGCTTCACTTACAAAGTTCATTTTACTCCCGGTGTAGCCCGCGCTTAAGGTGTACTATAGAACTGGCGCAGCATCTCTTATCTAATAGACAAGTCCGTCCGTCCGTGGTGCTGTTTCAGCGGCCAAACCGTAAGAGATAGATAAAGAGAATGTTTAAGTTATAAGTTAAGAATAGTCTGATAAGACTACAAACCGGATTTGAGTAACGTAGCACTTATGGATTTCGAGAAATCACGTGATTTCTATTTCAAACGAAACCACACAAAATCTCCGAAGTTCTCAATTAATTAAATACTTTTTTTCTTTTTTTTTTTGGTGAGCATTTGGTTCACTGGTTTGCTAGTCTCTTATCTAATAGACAAGTCCGTCCGTCCGTGGTGCTGTTTCAGCGGCCAAACCGTAAGAGATAGATAAAGAGAATGTTTAAGTTATAAGTTAAGAATAGTCTGATAAGACTACAAACCGGATTTGAGTAACGTAGCACTTCCGGTTTTCGAGAAATCACGTGATTTCTATTTCAAACGAAACCACACAAAATCTCCGAAGTTCTCAATTAATTAAATACATTTTTTTTTTTTGGTGATCATTTGGTGCACTGGTTTGCTAGTTTTATATAATCACTAGCTGACCCAGCAAACTATGTTTTGCCATATAAATGACTATTAAAAAATAGGGGTTGGTGATAGAAGGGTGAAAATTTAGGGTTGTGTGTAATTTTTAATGCCACATTATAAAAGAATAAAAAAAATGTCCAATAAATAAAAATAAATGTTAGTGGTGGACAACCTTTATCACTTAGGGGTACGAAAAATAGATAGTAGCCGATTCTCAGACCTACTGAATATGAATATAAAATTTCAAAAAAATCCTTTAAGCCGTATCGGAGGAGTATGGTAACTAACATTGTGACACGAGAATTTTATTGTATACTCGTAAGATAAACAGAAATGTTTGTCTAATATATTTACTTTTTCCAGAATTAAAACCGGACACGGAAGGCACGGTGTATTACGACGGAAGCGTTCATACCAGCGGTATAGGTAGGTGATTTTTTTATTAAGAGGGGAGACGGGCGATGTTTTTTCCCATACAAACATTCTCGGCTGATCCCTCCTTGATTTTCATACATCTATAACTATATATATAAAACTCAAAGGTGACTGACTGAGATAGTGACCTATGAACGCACAGCCCAAACCACTGGACAGATCGGGCTGAAATTTGGCATGCAGGTATATGTTATGACGTAGGCATCCGCTAAGAAAGGATTTTGATCAATTCTATCCCCAAGGGGATAGATCCCTATTTTATATAGGGAATGAAAGTTTGTATGAAACTTTGTCAATTTTAAAGCAATCGGGCTGAGACTTTGCATGCAGGTACGAGTATAAGAAGAATCAAAGATGAATGTCATTGTGTATAATACAAGCCTGAGAACAAAAACTGTAGTCTACACTTCAGCTCTACACCGAAGCGAAGCGAGGGCGGGCCGCTAGTTCAAAATATAGTTGTCAGGAAAATAGCAAATGTACCGTGTTCTATCACTATTTCTGAAATCCATGAATGAACATCTAAATATGTCCATTGTAGGATAGGATAGGATGGGTGACCAAAACCTTATTATCTCGAGCTGCTCCGTGCTTCGGAAAGCACGTTAATCCGTCGGTCCCGGCTGCATCCGCAGTCTTTAGCATCAACTAATCCGCACTGGGCCCGCGTAGTGGGTCCCGGCCCAGTCTCGCTATTCCATCCATAGGGAATGACTGTGCCCCAGCAGTGGGAACATTGTAAGACTGATGATAATGATGATACATAGATATAGTAAAATCAATTATATTTAACAATAATAGTGCATTACGGTACGTGGTAGGGGCAAGTGGGTTAAACTTACACACTCAGGGCCAGTTAGAGCAAATTTGCTAAATCTCGATCCAACTAAAACTAGATATAGCGCAAAGAATGATGTCCAATTGATATTAGTTTAGACATTTTTCTTTGGGTTAGATCTTTGAGCTTCTTGAAAGCTGTCGGGCTAAGATAGATATTTTAACTTGGTGGTGAGTCACAATAGATCTTAAAGGTTGCAGTGACTACAGTTCCATTGCGTACACCCAAAAATCTAAAATAATAATAATTGGGTTAGATCTAGTTTTAATTGAATCGGGAATTAGCAAATTAGCTGCAAGTGGGCCCACATTTTTCAAACAAAACATAAATTTTCCTATAGTTTCCGATGATGAAGGCATGTCTGACATCATGCCTGGGTTGGAGAGCAACTCCAGGGTGGAAATGGACCCGCTGACTTTCGACCTTAAGGCAATGAGGAGGGACCCCCTGCACAGGTAATTTGCCAAATAATTTGATCTTTAATCCTAACTTAGCTACATAAGTCAAAACTATGGTGTAGCTATTAGCACCCATACACATACAAGCGAATAAACAAATAAAAAACACTATTGTATTTTTATTTATTAAACGTTTCAACTGCTACATGTTTATTATTACTATAATCTACTTTGAAGTGAAACAACTTTTCGGACGGGTTGTAAATGGAAAAATCCTATGGAAAAGATGAAACAAAAATGCGTCATGAGCGTCACACGACTATTTTTATATGTGTGTGTTTGTGGGATGCATATGCAACTCTTCCCGACGAGCTTGAAAGTTGGAGGGCAACTCGGTGAAGGCTGCAACGCTACCAGCGTCACGAGCGTTACACGCGACAATATATAAACATATACTATATGAGTGATACATGCGCTGCTCCATTCCCCATATATCTTATGCACCGCCTAATGCTAGGTTATTTAAGAAAAGTTGTTTTTTTGTTCTTCTAAAGAAAAACAAGAAAGTATTTGTAGTAATAAAAATATTTTGTGTGTTTTCTAATTGTTTGTATAATAATAAATCATAACAATAATAATGTTTATTCATCAAACCTTACAAGCACTACTACAATATCATCTTAAAATAAACTAGGAATGGTTTGCTATCTTATAGTCTTATAAGTAGGACCCCTGACTTTCATGCTAAGTAAGACCTGTATTATGAAAGGCAGTGGTTCGATTCGAGACACCGGATGATTACAAAATCGTTATTGATGTGTGTGTGTGTGTGTGTGTGTGTGTGTGTGTGTGTGTGTGTGTGTGTGTGTGTGTGTGTGTGTGTGTGCGTGTGTGTGTGTGTGTGTGTGTGTGTGTGAGTGTGTATGTGTTTGTGTGTATATGTGAGATATTGTGTGTGTTTTAATAGTTTGTGTGTATGCATCTTACTTAGTTAAACATGCCTAGCGAGAAAATTAAAACTACGGGCACCTATATCCCCATTTTCCTCTAGAACCAAATAAACCTATATCTCAAAAGTAAATTAAAGAACTTAATCATTATTGTATTTACTTTCAGATTAGCCGAACTGCAGGGACTTGCTTACGGATAAATCAAAAATTCACACAGACCTACCTACCTAATTAAATTAAGGTAGTTAATAGGAAAACGAGATAAAATTCGCGGCATGAAACTCTAGCGTTGGCCGTTATTGTGCAGAAGTAAAAATTAAGATGTGTTGGGGGGAAACGAGGTGCGCGGGTGGTCGCGCGTTGCGCCGATTGGCTCTCCAGTCGTACCCATGCGCAACTAGCGATGCGCGACTACGAATGATTTTACCTTTCGACTAATTCGTAACTAATAATTTGGCTATTCGAAAGGCTAAGTAGTATACTAATGTCATTATTCGAATAACGACTACTTATTAGTAATGCTAATGTCAAATGTCGCTACGTGCGTTGCGCGCCGCCCGATACCTTCGACTCCAGTCGAATGATATAAATCACAGTCGACTTAGTCGAATGATTCGTGGAGTCGAATGATTAGTATTTCCGAATCCCTGACGCATTTTGTACAGCGCTAGAGTTACATGCCGCGACCTGCAAAACAGATGATATTTGCTCATATGGATAGAAATTGCTCATGTAAAGTTGACAAAGAAGATACTGCATACTGTGCAGTCAAACTGAAAATGTAAAAAAAATATTATATCTAGTATTATACTAGAAAAGTTAAACTCCGTAGTACTTGGGTGTAACATTCTTAATACAAACTAGTTAAGACACGATTTAAAACCTTGTTTAGGCACATTTTATATGTATTTTTTTCTCAAACTCGTGTCAAACTTTTTGTGGTAATAAGGTAATAGTTTGGTCGAGTTGAATTTTTACTAGTATTTGTTTAGATAGAATTTCAAATCAATAACTTTATGCTTTAAATAATTATTTTTTTTATTGAAATGCATTTTTGTAAAATGTAAAAACTTATAATACAATTTATAATTACTGTAAAATATAGCAATCCGTTTTCGTTGCGTTATGCATTTAATACAGCCCCTTTAGTGTTTATCATAAGCTTTACTAAAAACTCATGTGTTAGAATAACAAATTCTGTATATTGAACAAAAAAAATGCAACTTGTGACTAATAAGAAATTAAGTAATAAAATATATTGCTTAAAAACCATTGCCTGCTTTATTTACAAACATCCATGAATAAATTGGTCCTCCTACTGCTATTTAGACCCTATAGACTAGCCCATCTTGTAAGATTATAATTTTAGATTTTAGGAGCTATGCATTCCTAATAGAACTGTAGTCACTACGACCTATAAGATCTATTGAGACTCGCCACCAAGTTAAAGAATCTCTTTTAGCAGGACAGCTTCAGACAGGAAATGGAATTAATTACTTTTGGCTGTGAGCTAAATTATCATATAGCATGGTTTCTAGAAATGCCACAGAAAGGTTCTCTGGTGGTCCCAGTGGTTGCCCCTGTGCCCCTGCTGTCGCTAGTTATCTTGTAAGATACTTTAGTTAATAATTTTAATAACAGACTGGCAGAACTTTTGTATTTTTTTGACCAGATAGTCCCATATTTGTATAGTTTCATTTGACTGTATATTTATGTAACAAAACACAAACTAGAGAAATAGGCTATCTAGTAATTTTGCGACTTAGTTATTATGAGATGTGATCAAATAAAGAAGAAGTCTGTTTGCGATCTAGTAATTTTTTGATATAGTCACATAAAAATACTGACTTCGCAAAGCTATAATATATAAATATGCCATATGAACGAGTACATAAAAATAACATTATACTACAACCCTACCTTAAGAACGTATCGACTATTGGATGTTTTGGCATCTAAACTAATATAAGTCAGACAGACATGGTTGGAACCAGCTTTTGTATCTCTTAAAACTAAGATCAAATCTATACCTTTCCCGTTTCAGCTTAATGTGTTTCATATAAATAAGAAATAAGTTTCTTACAAACAATATGTCAAATCATCCAAATGTATACTAAAACTCACTTCTTTATCGTGAGTCAAATAATGTCATGAGGTCATAATCCCTAAAGGTTACTATTATGTCTTCATGGCATTCCATGTGCAATCAATCAATTTAGCTTATCGCTGTCCACTGCTGGACATAAGTCACTCCTACCTCCTTCTGCATCTAGTCTGGCCCTAGTCAAATCGTCTGTTCATCTAGCTGAGGGCATCCTACGCCAGACTTGCCATTATGCGGTCTCCCGACTCTACTCAAGGGCTCGTCGGCCATTGATCGTTCGACAAATATGGCCAGCCCATTGCCACTTTAGTTTACTGATTCTGGATGCTGGAGCTATGTTGGACACTCCAGTTCTTTTCCGGATAACCTCGTTGCGTATTTTTATCTATTTTATCCATCAAGGAAACTCCAATCATAGCTCAATCTCCAACTTTGAATCTGTGGACCATTCCAACTGTCAGTGTCAGTCTTAACCATCTCGACACAGTACGTCATGACTGACAGGTCGCACTGACTGAAAACCTTTGTTTTCAACCACTGCCGCGGTATAGACACTGTATATGCGTTATATTATGCAATATACACCAAGGTATAATTATGTTTAATCTAGAGTAACCTTTTTTCTTTAATAGCCTACCATGCAAAGGTGCTATATGTTTTGTGTACCATATTTAAATAAATTTGAATTTTCTTATGTTTAATATATTTAGTCCTAGTCCTAACCATCGTGAACTAACCACCAGCAGAGCGATTTAAAATGAGAACAAGAATCTATATATATAAAACTCAAAGGTGACTGACTGACTGACATAGTGATCTATCAACGCACAGCCCAAACCACTGGATGGATCGGGCTGAAATTTGGCAGATGTTATAACGTAGGCATCCGCTAAGAAAGGATTTTGATCAATTCTACCCCCAAGGGGATAAAATAGGGAATGAAAGTTTGTATGAATCTTTGTCAATTTTAAACCGATCGGGCTGAGACTTTGCATGCAGGAGGTATAAGAAGAATCATAGATGAATGTCATTGTATATAATACAAGCCTGAGAACAAAAACTGTAGTCTACACTTCAGATCTACACCGAAGCGAAGCGAGGGCGGGCCGCTAGTTTCAAATAAATTTCAAATCACACCGGGGGCGGCTTCCGCGATATAAATTGAGTTTCTTCTTACAGATTAGCACTGCAGCCTCCACAACTACGTACAACAATATAATACATACCTAACGGCTGCTCTCAGAGACTTGAATTAAACTGCTTCTGTAGGGCACGTTTTCCCTTATTTAACGCAAAAAAGAACTGGATCATCATTAATCTAACTTAAAATTTGACATGACAGATCAAGATAAATGCAACATCCCTTTTGATCGTCCCTTATCCCACCTTCCCCTTCCCTTCATAGGACCACTCGCGCTTGCCTACGCTGTCACCTGCTTACTAAAAATTAAGTGTTTAGTGACTAATTTCTTTGTTGCACCATCCGCAAATGGAATACTTTGTGTTCCCTCTTTCCTTAGTTCTACAACCCGGAATTCTTTAAATGAGGGCTTAAGAAGCAATTTGCAGCCCGGCAATGTGAGGGTGGCTGGTGTGGCAGGTAGAATTGCTACACCAGCTATCTTCGCGTCTGGACTCCACCGTCACTTAATATCAGGTGCGGTTAGAGTTGCCAGAGATATAGATAACATTTGAAATTATTCAGGACTTTGGGACTGTTGTTGGGAGAATTACACACACCCCCTCGTCGGACATCTCACGTCCTACTTAGGCTAGACGCGAACAGTACATGAGCTCTAATCCCAATCTCGTGCATTATTTTCAAATAATAATAGCGGCACAGGGTAAAGGAAGAGTGCATCGCCATATTTGTTTGTCGGTAGATATCGTTTTGTCGGGAGTCTGGAAAACAGTTTAAATGTCGGGAGAATCCAGACGATACCCATCAATCTAGCAACCTTAGGTGGGGTGGAGTCATTAGTCGGACCAAGGTCGGACCTATTTTTAAAAAATGTCAAAGACTCTATTGAACTGCAACAACCCGAGCAAAACGATAAGAAAGAATATTTGAAAATGGTTAAGGTTTTCAGAAAAAGAACTGATAAGAAAAATGGTAAGATTTAATGGTGCTTTGAAATTTTTGTTTCTTGTATTGTTTCGGTGAATGCTATCGTAAAAAACTTTTTTGTTAGTCCATTATCAGCTACGATTCAAGTGAGATTTCAAACTACCAGTGTTTTAACTACTAATTAAATAAATTTACAGGTGAGTGAGCTTTATACTGAGGAAATCCATATTAATATTACAAATGCGAGAGTGTGGCTGTCTTTATGTCTCTTCGCCGTTAAGCCGCTGAACTGAACCGATTTACATAAAATTTGGTAACTTTTGAGATGGTTTTGAGAGCAGTGCCCTGTTTCACCAAATCGACATACGTCGCTACCATATGTAAGCCGATTGTTTGATTTGGGTGATCTATTCAACCTTTTTATTCTGTAAATGCAAAATCAGTGATATCAGAGGAGAATTCATTCTTTATAAATTCTCCTGTACAAGAACTCATCTTTTCAAGCTTTTACTGAGTGCCATTTTGTAACATACAACGAAAACACTACAATTGTAACGTAAATCATACTCAGCCCCGATTTCGTGTCAAGTATTAATGACAATTTAAAAAATATATCGACTTCAAAACATTACCCTTGTTTCACAACATAAAATTGTCATTGAAGTAAGATACGGATAATTGTAACAAAATGTAACAATCAGCCAATTTGATTCCTGATCCAACATAAGCTTATTTTGTTACAACTCTTTCTAAACAATAAGGTAGATGTATGTACGTATTAGGCGCAAGCCACACATAAATGGCGTCAGGCGAGGACACAGCGTGGACCAACGACAACAGCTAACTAGAGCCGAGGTCTGAGTCTCAGAGACGCCCTCTAGTTGAGCCGACCCGCTCAGGTTCGAGTGGTCTAGTGGCTCCAGAAGGAGAGGAGACCCCCCGTAATTATATTTTTAAATAAAATAAATAAATATTATTAAAACTCATGGAATAGAAAAGTGTTTTTAACAGACATCCATCTACTTCATCATCACTGCTGGCGCATA